GTAGACTCCATGCTCCTGAAAAACATCCCGGGCAGTGTAGAGCTGCCTTGTCCGGTGTGTGGGGTTTACTTTGGCACTAAGTCGGGTCTGGATCAGCATATTCACCGAGCTCATCCCACTCTTGGAGCAGCAGGCGCACATCGAGTTTGACAGAGCCAAACACTGCCTACATGGAGCTCCAATTTGTAGATTCTGCAGGTGTCGGATGTCAGATTGGCAGTCAATGCGCAAGCATCTTACACAAGGTATGTGCTCAGCCATCAAAGCGTCTATTGCTCGCGGACTCTCGATTGAGGAAATCCTTGCCGAAGCGGAACAGGCGGAACAGCTTGATCCACCGGAACCTCCAGCTCCGGGTTGGACGCTCAGAGCGCCCCTGCTTCAGCAACATCACGAAGTACTTACGATCCCAGATCACAAGTTGGCCCAATTCTCCCAGACCATCAAGGAGTACGCGGGGCAATGTGCTCTGTGTAATCAGCGCATTGTTCAACCAGGCCACATGAAAACACACTGGCGCACAGGACACCTGGCAGCATGGGACCACGCTCACCGCGCGGCGGATTCTCTTGCAGGTAGCCTTACAGCTATATTTCGTCGGCCATGTCAGTTCTGTGGCAGCCAGGCAAAGGATTCAAAGACCCACTCTCGCAAGTGTCCCAGCTTCTTTCAGATTGCGGCAGTCAGACACCTACATCATTTGAGGCGAAACAGGCGGCTTACACACAACCATCAGCCCCCAAGCAGGACAAGTCAAATCCTCAGTATAAGACTTATGTTGCTCCGATGCAGAAGGCGCTGCAGGGTACCAGTGCTCATCCCACGGCAGTGACCACGACATCAGGTGCTGGAGCGATGCCTATGTTGGCGAGCTCCGCTACCAGGTCAGTACCTCGCTCTCAACAGGATGGCACCATCAAATGCTTTTTCGCGAAGCCTGCAGGTCGGGCCCCAAATCCAGTACCGGCTGCTCCTCCTGATGTACCTCCTCCGGAAGGTCCCTGGCAACGCAGAGTGAAGCTCGCGAACCCACATCAGCTGTGCTATATCAATGCTGGCTTTTTGGCCATGACGCATGCCCTACAGTGTGCAGGACATGACATGCCGAACCTTCAGTTTGCTATCACGCTTGCGAACAAGGCCGCGGAGCGCTGTGTTGTTCTTAAGCTCACGCAAAGCCTCAGATTTCGTCGACTTGTGCCGGCATGGATCTATGACGAGGTGCAGAAGGATACGGCGGAGTACACTCAGCAGTTGCTCCAGGCACATAAGATACACTCTGCAGTTTGGGATTCGAGAAGATTTGGACTGGCAGGCTTTCAACTCCGTGCCCAAGGAGACGAGCCTATCCTCATGCCGCTCCCACCACATGCCACGGACCTACAAGATGTGGTACATCACTGGAATACATACAGCGATATACATGCGCTTGCTCACCCCAGTGAATGCATATGCCTTCAAATTAATCGCTTCGTCAGGTACGGTGAGCGCCACAAGCTCCTACAGCCAATACGATTTGACAGGCCTCTTCACTTCCCTCGCTTTGTTGAACATGTTCGCCTAGTTTGGGAGCAATATGAAGCAATCGCAGCCGTGATTCACATTGGCAGGACAACGCAAAGTGGCCACTACCGAGCCCTTCTCAAAGTCGGAGCCCAATGGATGTACACAGACGATTCTTGTTTTGCACAGCCTGTGACGGTTACTGCTGAGCATGAGTCCAATGTGTACGTTGTTTGGCTGAAGCGCTGCTAATCCTCCACGGCCTGCCCATATACTCCAGTGTGCAGCAATGACGGACACCGCGGAGACACCGGATGCTCACATGGAACGAGCTCTGGAGAACCTTGAGGATGAGATGTTCAATAAGTACTTCCCGGCCGGGGTTGAGGTTCCGTCTACGGCAGCACCCTCGGAGGCCTCGGATGGTGCCGCCCGCGGCCAACCTACTCCCCGGATGGGGGATGGCAACGGGCCAGCAACGAGGAAAAGGGCAGGCCAAAGAAAAGGAGGATGATGATCCGTGGGCCAGCTGGGGCAAAGCCAAGCGTGGATGGGCAGCATGGGGGAAACAGGAGCAGCAACGCTCCAAGGAAGAGCTGCAGGAGGAGCTGAATCAGCTCAAGGACAGCGTCTTTCAGCTGCAAAAGCTGACGCTTCGACATGAAGATTATCTGGGAGGCATTCGACCGGAGACATCGTTTGTTATCTTCATGCGCATGGGCATCCCGGCCTCCATAGTGCCCTCGCTCTTCCAGGCTCAGAAGGCTTGGCGTGAGCAGAAAGAGGAAGATGCTACCAAGATTGACAAGCCCAAGCGGGTTGTGCTCCTCTCCTGCCTCTTTCGAGAATTCTGCTCGCGCCTGGAAAAGTTCCCGACCCAGACTGGCACGATCGACAACATGACGAAGCTTGGGTGGCTTAAGCCGGAGACCAAAGACTGGTGCTACCTCCGCTGGGATCCCCAAGCTGAGCGTCTCAAGCCGGATCCGGAGAAAGAGGCCTTGCCTTTCTCGCAGGGCATCGCTACAGTGGAGTCCATCAGAGTTTTGGTGGGGAAAATCGGGCCGGTGTCCCGGTTTCACCCGAGCCGGACCATTGAAGAGGAGGTGCGAGGCAGCAATGTCACATTCAGCCTGCAGCTGGCACTGTTCAATGAGGACGCGATCCAGCTCCGCAAACATATGAGCCTGCTGACCGGCAACTCCATCACCCAGCTTATGGCGATGGCATGGAGGCCAGAACGAGCTGGCCGTTCCACGCTTGCCGACCAGGTCCAGCGCACCATTCAGACCCCGGCCTCATCCAGCTCAGGATTCGGTGCAAGAGGCGGCGCGAGAGCCAGAAAGTGAGTATGCGGCCAAGATCAAGGCGGCGCAATGGTGCTCACTATGACGTTTTTGTCTATGCTGAGGACTGTCAACGTTCCCTCCCCTTTTTGACGGTCTTCTTTTCGAGGCCCTATCGGGGCATCCAAGTGCTCATCCTCCAAGGGCCAATGAGCAGCTTCGTATAGTGCGCTTAGCATGCTGGGTGGTGCAGAAGCCGGTGCCCAGGAACGTGGAGCGTAGATGCAGCAAAACATTGTAAATTCTGCGCGTGCACTCTGACCGACTCCGACCTTCAACATGCTCTGACACTGCCCCGGATGCAATGTTGCTATGTACATGTTTTTGCGTCCAAGGTCGGCTCCTCTGGAACTGTCGCTCTCTGCCTACGAGCACCTCTACTTCGTCATGGATTGTGCCCCTCTTCACGCATGCTTTCTTCTACAGCATACTTCAGCATGTCAGTGCGAATGCAAGCATACAGTTTACAGACTGCAGCGCGAGATCAATAATGTGATGGATGCAACACCCTCAGACTGAAGGCAGCTTTTCCTGCTCTGCTCAGCTAGTTCCCTCAGTTGCCCAACACAGGGAGCTCGATGATTGGGCCAGATGCAGTGGGAACTCTGGAGATACACGATGATGCTGAGGAACCTCCGCTGTCGGACACTTCAGGCCAGTCGGGTCCCAGTGCAACCTCGATGGCCGACAACAGTGTGAAGGCTCATGCCAAGAGCAAGCGTTATCGTGCTGCGGATTGGCCAGTGCAACTTACAGCGCTGACCAAGGACGTGACACCTCAGCAACAGGCTCTTTCGGCGGAATCGGCCCTCAGTCTGTATTCGGGAGAAGCTCATGCAGGTGTGGTGATCTGGAGCACGCATAATTGGGACTGGAATGACCCATTGCCGAACACGGCCTCTGAAGCCCTGGCTCAGGGCTGTCTGCGCATGGGGTTTGTTCGATTCTCACTGCTGCGTCGCTTGTTTGAATTGCTGCCTACCAAAAAGCATGAACGATATGTCTCGGAGAACTTAGCCACTGGGAAAGAGCCGCGTTCCATGACCTTTGGTGCCAGCATATTCGGAGGGGTTGCGTCGGTTCAACTGACGACCCGCAGTGAATTATGGACGACTCGGCTCCTATGTCATGTGGTTAAGGCCCTCAGTCCGAATGCTTTATTCAGCAATGTTTTTCTCCATTTGAATGTTCCTAGTGAGCCTCACGTGGACCCCCACAACCATACCTCGATACACAACACTCTGATACCTCTCAGCGTCTGGAGTGGTGGAGAACTATGGTGCGAGGACCCAGGTGGCCCTTACAGACTGCACCCGGAAGGCCCCGCAGGTCAGCTTCATGCTATCACTCCTCCTTGTGTCTGCTTTAACTCCAGACTGCGGCATGCCGTCCTGCCCTGGTTTGGGGACAGATTTATTCTGGGAGCATATCACATAATGGATGAGTGGCGATTAGGCTCTGAAAATGCGGACTTTCTGACACGGCAGGGCTTCAAGTTGCTATCTCAGGATCACGCCACAAGTGATCCATACGAATGAGTCACATGATGGCGCCTGACTGCTGGGGAAAGCAGATGACAAAATGAGCGATGACGGATTTGCATCTGGATACAGTTCTGCACTCTGCTCCGCTACCAATGCGATGGAGGTACATACTCCACTGCACGACGCCTGACAAGTCGCCGATATGTTTCGCTGGAGATCTGACGATGCAATTTACAAAGTGCCTATCGGGCAAGAAGCTGTGGTAGCTTGCGCTGCGTCCGGCTCGCCGCTTCGCAATGTACAGAAGCGCAGGAGCACCGCTTGGGACTAACGGTCCGGGTGCCTCCATTGCTACCTGTTAATGTAGTTTAATCAAGCTTGGATGCTTGCTCGTTCGCCCTGGTTCAGCTGTCCAAGGGATAGCCGGCCTTCTAGGTCGCCCAAAGGGGCCACGCAAAGACGTCTTCGGATGTTTGCGCATCGAGAGAGAGAGAGAGAGGAGTAGGAGCAGGAGCAGGAGTAGGAGTAGGAGTATGCGTAGGAGGAGGGAAAGCGGAAATAGAAATAACAAATAACAAAATCGACTTTTACCTGCATAGCAGGATATGTCTGGCAACTTCGTTGCCAGTCTGCTCGTTGGGATCCAGCATGGTCCAGCGCATGCGAGGTTCTGGATGCCCATCTTTTTGATTTGCTGAGTCCTTCAAGCAGGAGGGTGACCGACACTCGCCCACACAGATCTTCAGACCGCTGGGGTTGACGACCCGCATAATTACATAAACATTTGTGCAGACCCACATAATCCATATAATCATACAAATACATCGGAATAGCCATGTACCCGATCGTGGCATAGTCCTCTTCACCAAGCAGTGCACACTCAAACGCAGTTCAACAAATTCGTTACTACATGCTCATCGGTATGGATGGATGCTCGCAGACCCCGCTACTCATGCACGAGACGAGAGCATCAATTGAAACGCGTTCGATGTGGAGCCCAAGGTTTGCTATTATTTTCGTATTGGCTATAGCCTGGTCTGCTTTGGATTTCTTGGTTGGGCACGGGTCTATTTGTGTGTCCATGTATACCCATACATATACATGTACATGTACATGTACATGTACATACATGCATACATACATATGCATCATACATTTGCAGTCCAGTTTGACGGTTTGCACCTTTGCAGGCACACAGTAGTCTCTTGTATTTCTACATGCTCATACATGTGCATGTTCATGTGCTCACATCGGCAAATGCAGGTATGCATGTACCTCAGACAGGTATGCATGTACATGCACGTTGTGCTGGGGTGCATATGTGCGTACATGTGCACATGGCCTCGGTCGAGGAGCTCATTCAGACTGGGAAGCCGGACACATTCGAGCTCACGCTGGAAGGATCCAACTCCAAACAGAGCCTGGGCAAAACTCGCGGCGTTGTCTTTGCTCATAGATTGCGAACTCCGAGGATCACGCTGCGAATGAATGCCATGCCGCGGATAAACTCGCGACAAGAAACTGTGGGATTCGTCCTCGTGGGCCAGGACACCAATGTATGCAAAATGTGCTGAGATTGGAAGCGGACCGTTCAGATACCTGCCGATCGCCAAAGCAGGTGTAGCAGAAAAAGGAAATATGGGAATCCAGCGAGTGTAGAAGCATCGATCAAGAAATGTTCGGCCGCAGGACAGACTAGAGGGTTTGCTCGGTGCAGTCATGACACGAGGTAGGAAATCTGTGAGCAGACAATGACCTTAGGGTCTTTCTTTGATCTGTTTGCCAATGTACAAAGTTTTCCATTGAAAGGACATCACAGAGCTCAAGGACATTGGCGAGTGGAAGTCTGCAATGATGGCGATCATCTCGCACGAGCTGAAGTCGCCTTTGCATCGCGCTGCACTAACGGCCTGGCAACTCTGCTACTCGTAGTGCATGATCTTGGCAGATGAGGCATGGCATCATGGGCCTAAGTCAAGGGTTCATCGTGGATGATGATGTGGACATGGTTCAAAAGCGGGCCATGGCAATGGTCAGCAACTGCGCGAAGCGACTGATCGAGACTCGTCTTTCACTCGGTTTCGCAAGGTTCTACGACTTCTCGAATCCTGTCGACTGAGGACATTGTGAGCAACATCATGGACGCTGCGGAAATGATAAACCAAAGAAACAGGCCTATGGTGAGAGATCCGGTGATGATCGAAAGTATCATTCGGGAGATGGTGCTGCTATGCCAGCAGGCAGTAGACAAACGAGGTTTGCCGGAGTTAAAGCCCTCTGTGAAGATCATCAACGCAATTACCGAGCCTTTGCCCATGATTGAAGGGGACGCACATCGATGCGCGCAGCTGATGCATAACCTGATCTCCAACGCAATCAAGTTCACCCACAAAGGGTCTGTGACCATCTCAGCTAGTCCCGATGACGTGGAGAAGATGGTGACCGTTGACGTGAAAGACACTGGAATCGGCATCTCTCCAAACAACCTAGAGCGCATCTTCGAGCCCTTTGATCAGGAAGACCGCTGCCTGCTTCAACTTCATGTCAGTCTTGGGCATCCCGCTAGGACCTGTGTGTGTATGACGGGTGTCTTGCCTCCTCAAGAGCATCACGTTCCAGGATAGTGTCCGGAAGGCGGGGAGAGGGGTGGAGGCTGGATGGGGGAGTCGGACAATGTGAACCGGGAAGCGGAGCGCTCGAAATGGCTCTTCGCCCAGGGGGTTGCAGAGCGGGAAAGGACTGATACGTAGGAGCTCTTGTTGGGCACCAAGGGTTTATCCCACCATCGCCCCGGATTGATGTGAAGGAAGACCCTGCTAGATCAAGGAGACTTGACAGGTTTCCACGTCCCAGGCACAAATAGGAAAGTCTGCCTCGAGTCTGGCGTGCCGAAATCGGATTTCGCACAGGTGCCATTGGTGGGCTGGTAGGGCAGAGACACCGGATGCCAGACCCACATGCACGTCGGCCCGGGGAAGAGTAACCATGCCAGCAGTCGCATAGCACAAAAAGTGGGTCGCCGCAGGACAGCACCATCATATTGATTCTAGGACACCGGGCTCGTGTCTTGATGAAGGGTCTTGGAAAGACCTCAATTCACCCATCCAGGGTTCAAGCGATGCTCACGTCGTCGCAATCAGGACATTTCTTCTTTGTCTCTCTCTTTCTCTCTGTGTCTATCTGTTCCGTTTACCTGAGTCATTATTGCGAAGCTGAGTTTGTCAATGAACCGGATGTTTCCATCCAACATTCAAGATTCGTCCTTTAAGGTTCAGAGCAGCGGCGTTACGAAGGCGTGGTGTTGGTGCTCTGCGAAGTCTACAGCCTACGACGCATCCCCCGTAATTTTTGCACCTGACTTGAGACTTTCACGCTGTCGGGAGCTGGCTGCATGCAAAGACCGTGTGCACTCGAATAGCCCATGCTGAGCCCAGTGTGGGAGGCATGGGAATGGGTCTGGCGCTCTGCCGGGAGATCGCGCTGAAGCATGGGGGTTCACTGTCGGTGGCATGCTGAATTTATTCCAGATATTTCCAGATCTGTTGAAATCGTTCAAGGATTCGCAGGTAGGCTATCCAAAGACGATTGAGTCTGAATTAGTTGACGGATGAGGTCTTCGATGATGTATGCACGATACATTTTCTGCTTCGGCACATCGCATTTTCGGAATTCAGTCGGGTCCCTCACATTAGATTCTGGTTTTTGATTGTGCCCTGAGCCAGTGTCTCAGGTGAAAAGCAAAAAGGGCAAAGGGTCGACGTTTAGCGTGAAGCTGCCATACTGGACGGGGGCTTCCATCGCCAAAGACCTCAGCATCGCAGAGCTGCAGGGCCGTGAGGTCGCGCTTGGGATAGTGATAGTGTCTGCGGATCTGGCATAGTTTGTAGGTGGCATGTCGTGCCTTTCATCCTCATATCTCGGCTTTCCCTCTCTGCCTCTCAATCTGTCTCTGTTTCTCAATCTCTCGCTGCCTCTGAATCCTCTCTAAATGTCTGTCTCGCACTCTTACGCTCTCTCTGGCTCTCGCTCTCGCTCTCGCTCTCGCGCTCTCTCGCTCTCTCGCTCTCTCGCTCTCTCGCTCTCTCGCTCTCTCGCTCTCTCGCTCTCTCTCTCTCTCTCTCTCTCGTTCGCGCTGCCTCTGAAGCTCTCTCGGTCGCTGTCTGTTTCTTCGACCGAGCCTTGTAGCCTTGCTGGCAGAAGACATCCCGGTCCAGCGTGCCGGAATTTGGTGGTTGCTTGGCGCAGCATGGAGTCAATTCTCAATTCTGCCACCATGACGTTTGAGTAGCCTTCACAAGTGCGTAGCTTCGCCGTGTCATGCCTATTCCCGCTATACCCATACTGCTTTCTTTTGTACTATGGCCGGTACGGCAGTAGGAATGCTTTGGGCATCTTGCAGTGCTGGTAAGTGCTGATGCAATGCAATTGCCAATTGCATTGTTTATGCTCCAGCAATCGTCGTTTCGCTGGGCCAACGAGCCCTTAGCGAAATGCAATTTCAACAAACATGTTTCGATTGGTTTCTGCCGGGGCTAGTGCAGTGCGAAAATGGCCATTTATGAAGGCTTGTGGGTTGTTGAGGAGCAGAACAGAAGATGGAAGATAGGCTAGTTCTTGTTGACGAACTTCCAAAGGATGCGAAGGGAAGGTCAGGAGTGGACCGTGGCGGAAAGGGAGACCGGTGCCAGATGCCTCGTCTGTCCCAGCCTTCACGATGTCGAAGGCTGCCTGCATCTTAAAGATCCCGCTTGAAATTAAATGCTGCCAAGAGTGGCACAGTCATCTTTCACACTTCTCAGCTTTTGATAAGTCAGGGCTGCAATGCCGGGTTGATGGTCGTAGATCACACAATCACATTGTCAGCTATGTTTTCGCTGTTGCGGCTTGACATGTCGCGCTTGGTGTGGTGCTGTTTCTGAGTCCTGTCCACAGCCTCTGTGGGTGAAGAAGGAACGTTTTTTCTGTTGTGCTGATCGTGATGATTAACAGTCTTGTCGTCACGACTAGTACACGGATCGTTCAACGAGGGTCGAGTGATCGTGCTATTTGTCAGAGGTGGGGGGCGGACGTTCGGAGGTGATCAGCGACAGTGTTGGCTCGCCCCCTTGCAATCGTGAGAAGGAGCAAGTGTCGCTTGATGTCGTTTGCGAGTCCTGTGAGTGAGGCTAGCTGGAACACCCCTCAACTACACTCGTGCTAGGCTTCCCCACTTTTATCCCAGTGCCAGTCGCGGGTACTGACTACCAGGATTTCTCCGTCCTCTGCTGCTGTGTGAGCTGTTGTCAATGCTCAAGCTTGAGGCGACATGGTCAGGGCACTGGGCCCAGAACAGCAGCCTGTCTGAAAGTCTGTATGGCTTGCCGCTTGCCATTGAGTTGCCAAAGTCCAAGGTCTTTCAAGACGTTTTCGGATGGGCTGGCCGCGGCTGGCAGAAGGGCAATCCCAGGTCGTGGCGGGATCATGAATGTTCTGAAAGCGCGTGCAGGGGATTCAGCATGATGGCAACTTGAGCTTGCGAAGTGGAATTGTCCATCCGGCAAATTCAAGTTGGTCAGGACAAGCGCTCATGAACTCAGGCCGGACCGTGTCAATTGCTCGGCATCTCACGTGATTCAGTTGTGCCACTCCTGAGCGCTCAGACTGTCATCCCTTTCCTCATCTCCTCTCCTGCAAGGCACTTCGGGGACATCGCAACCGAGATTTCCACCTTCCAAAGCAGCTGCATCGAATGTCATACTCACTGCTCGGCCCCCGGACTCGACGCGGTAGAGCTGGTGACAGACATGCCCGCAGCGTTCCGTCCAAAAGTCTATTCCTTTTGAGTCTTGAGCCGACTCTACGGTGACTGTGCCGAGGTCGATGACAACATGGTGAACCAGCAAGTCGTGCACTCCCTCCTTCGGTCCAGCGAGTACACCATGCAGGCTGGGACTGGCTGCGTTCGGGTTTAGTTTGAATCTTACTCAGTCTCGCTCAGGTGGCTGTCCATGGCGGAGAGGCCCTGAGCTACCTGAGCGACAATCCACTTCCAGCGCTTGTCCTCCTTGAGGTGATGATGCCAGGACTGTAGGCTGATTTTTGAAGCCGCACTGCCGTTTCATGAGTTTTGGGCTTGGTGCTACTGTCTGACTCTACGCGATGACAGTACGTTCCCCCTTTGATGAGGATTGTCGGGACCAGATGTGCTGCGGACGCTGCGGCAGAAGTACCCGGTGGAAATCCTGCCCGTCATCGTGGTTTCTTGTACGATCCATCAGACTGTCTAGTCTATGCAGCAAGGTCGCAACTGTGGTGCCTCCGTAGACTCCACAGCCGCACAGAAGGAGGATATGCTGCGGCTTGAAATACAATACAAGCTAATCAAAGCAGCAGGCAGACGAAGTCCCCGCTCTGTTGGGCTACATCGTGGGGGAAGTTCTAAGCTGTCAAGTTCTGCAGATGCATCCAGCTGGAAGAGCAGCAAGAACCGATGGGGAAGAACACTTCCGGTGAGCTGATGGTCCAGGAACCGGACTCAGCCAAAGCAGCAGGGCGGTCGCAGCAATCAAGAGAAGCACGTCAAACAGAAGCAGTGAACACAAGTAACGAGTACTGGGAGGCCGCGAGTCTGCGCAGTCTGGCAGGAGTGCTTACCGCGTTACGCGCAGAACAGGAAATCACGTTGACCGTTGTGTGAGTCTATGATGGTCACGGCATCAGCATGGTTTCCTTCCGACACTATGCGGGTGCTGCACCTTGTCAAGAGATCTTCTCGGCGACAAGGGTCTAGTGGAGCTCTGGCACCTGATGAGATTGAGTCTGTCGTTGACAGCCCACCGTCCCCGCTCTTTGTCTTTCTCTCGCTTCTCAGCCGTCGGAGCTCGACACGGGTAGGTGCAACGTCCCGGCACCGGCTTGTACCGAACCGTGTCCGACAGGTTTCCAACCAATGAAAGAAATTGCGCATGTGGGTTGCGTCGTGCCGAGTAACTCGGGCAGTGCTCGTGGTTTTTGCAATCTCTCAACTTGAGCTTGAGCCTCCTATCTGATATCCAAGATGTCGGCCAGCAGCGACAAGGACATGATCACCAAATGCTTGACACTTGGACCATGTTGAGCGTTCGCTGCATGAGAAGCCAGGTTTAGAGTTGGGACTTTGGTGAGCGTGTCGAGAGATGCGGAAGCCCACTACTTCATCTAGCTGAGAAGAACCCTGCAACATTCCCACCCGAAGATCCGGCGGGGGTGTGACACAGCTTCCCCGAAGTTCGTCACCTCCCGACCCCCTGCCTGCATGGACCTTTTCCTTCAAAACGATACCCTTCTGCCACGCATTCCGGAACAAAGAACTCGCCTTAAACACACCTTCCACAAATAGGGTTTGTAGGGTTCCGGCATGCGGGTTTCTGGTTTCCGGATTCGGCCAGACCCAGTGCATCCAGATGGAATTGGGTCTCAGAGGACGATGGCTTCTGAGCCGAGTTCCATGCAGGTCGCAAAGTAGGATGCACGGCCGGCCGTGCATCCTACTTTGGGCTAAAAGTGAGGGTTTTGGGTTTAGGGTAAGGTCTAAGCCCCAAACCCCCATCCATGAGCTGGGCCAGCTTGCCAGCCGACAATCGCCCCCACCCCGCCGCATGTGAACAACATTTAAGTCGGTGATTGTCCAGCGTTAGATCTCGACCTGATAGCACGATCGCACAAAAAGCTTCATGAAGGTTGACGAGACACGTTGACATTCCAGCAACCAAGGAAGCTGGGTGCCAACGATTTCGTTAAGAAGCCGTGCTTCAGTTGCAAGCAAAAAGCATCTGCGATGCAGTCGGCATCATTTGCACAGGACGCACAAGCATGTTCTCTGAAATTGAGGTTCCATCCCTCAGAATTGCTCGCCCGAATGCAGCTGCAGTGCACCTGATCTTGGATAAATGCGACTGAAAGCACCATGGCTTCGAATTTTGCCAGCGAGTCACGTGGCTGTGAGGCAATCTTGCACGAGCTCAGCGACGTCTCAGCAATGACGGCCCAGCCGTGCCAGACACCACATCGGACGTGGACCTCTGCTGGGATTCCAACCCAAGCACCGACTCCAAAAGCCTAGCGGAAGCTCAACACTTTGGGGTGCAGGCTGATAAAGACGGCCCAGAAATGCTGAAGAATTGGCGCCCGCGTTGTGTTTTGAATTTTCCTTCGTGTGGTAGTTTTGGCGTGAAATCCTTGCCCAAGTTATGTAAACTCAGACACCCAGATGTAACGGTGGTAGCTTGCTGCTTTCATAGTGAGCATTTACAGGATCCCTTTTCAGGATGCTGAAGCGATAAGAAGAGCATATGATAGCACGCGGGCGTGGTACAAAACCACAGAACACAAATCAGAAAAACAAAGACAAAGCTGAGACAGCTAGGCGGAGACAGCTAGCGGAGCGTGTGCGTGCGATACATTCAAAACCAAGCATGCTACCCTTTCTCGGGTCTGCTAGCCTTCTCAGCTTTTCAAGTTTGATTGAAGCCTGAAGCTTTTTGAGACAGCTGGGTCATGCGGAGCCATTTAATTCGCGATGAGAGCTAGTTGATGGGGAGCCAGCCACGGCTTGTACAGTCCACACAATCGAAGATCCTGGTCAACCTCCTACGCATCATGAGCAAGATAATCCTGAGGTCGGAGAAGTAGACCCCATCAGTCAGTTCCACGCCCAATGCCTAGACATTCAAAAGAGGGCTGTACTATCTCTGACACACAACCGTTCAGTTTGGTTAATCTGCTGGCCAGCATATCCCCGTCGAGCCAGCCAGCAATTTGAAATAGCCCGTTAAATCCAACAAATGCAGAAAAGGACCTTCAACTCGTATTCCACTACTCCGAATGCAAATCACAGCTTGCGTGTGTCTTCTCTTTAAAAGACAGTAGCGCGATTTGGAGAGAGTTCCACACTTGTCTCCACAGTCGCTAGCATAAACCCTTGCCCGCCGTTCGTTTATCAGAGCAAGACGGAAACATCCTCACTCAGCCATGCCCGCAAGAGCCGACGGAGTTTCAGGAACGGTACATGTGGCAAGCCGGCAGAAACTGTCATGCAATAAGAGGACGACTACAACTTGAAAGCTGCGGGCTGCGTGGATGCAAGACTTCTGGAGGTCAGCTGCTGGCTTGTTGTGTTAGCCCTGCATGATCTTTACCTGGCCTACCGTCCGCTGCGCATTCTGCCAGGGAATGATTCCGGCGGCGCTGCTGGAGACGTTGACATCTGCTTCTGGAAGAAATCCCCAGGTGAGTCCAGAGGCAGGTGGTTTAACGACTCCTTTGCACCCCGGCAGTGGAGAATGGCGAGGGTAGAGTTCGCACTGGTGCACAGGCAGCCCGACAGCAAGTCGAGGAGTTCCTGAGCGACTTGCCAGAAAATCCAGCTGTCCCATTCTGTGATACGAGGCCTTCGGGTGTGTCTTGCAGATTCGGGGCTGGATCCCCCCCATTCAAAGATGAGCCTCGGTCTTTGCAAAAGCATGAGCTGTCCAAACTAAAACCTCACGTCCTGTCCATCGCTCGTCGGCTCTTGATGTAGATTCGAGAGGCTCGAGACTTCATGTTTTCCGGCTAGCCATGACTGCCGAGGCAACTCCGAGAAGATTCAGCAAATGACAAGCACTATTGAGGAGCTGCAGTCGCCCTGTGGTTGCAATATCAATATCGGCGTGCCCTTGTCTGGGCCGTTGTGCTCTGGTCAGCCAAATGTGATCCAAGGAATCTGGCTGAGGAGAGGGCAAAGCACGGTGTGACGGAATCTCAGGAAGCGTGTGAAGTACGCCACCGTGGCGACATGCAGTTCGTAAGCACCTCTGCATCCCTGCCTTGGAGCAAGGCTCTCTGAAAGCCAGCTGCTGCTGACGAAGAGTCATGCTTTGCGCCTGCAACGCCTTCAAGAGGAGGCACACCTCAGAGCCCTCAGTGTGCTGATAAGTCTTTCCATTGCTACCGTTCGTCCCGTCTTCACGGTGCGCAGGGTCTGAGAGTGGTACTTGTATCGCAGGTCAAGAAGAGGGAGCAGCGCTTGCTGAGCTTTGGGCGTTGGCCGCTTGGACTCGGACCGTCTCCGACCAGAACTGCCCGGTGTCTGTGACGCATTCGTGCATCATGCCAGGCGAGACGCCCAGAAAGCTGTGCCGGCAAGTCACCATGTGAGCACCAGCGTAGCGAAGAACATCAACCGTCTGGATGTGCCTCGACTCGGATAGCAGCCTGCAGGGACTGGGGCCTGGGGTCTTGCCTCCCTCATTCGCTGTAGCCGTTGTACGATTTGATCAGGGCTTGGGGGCGTGCCTCTGCGTAATTTCGCCGCCCCACGTCATGTCATGCTTCCACCTGTTCCCCCCTACCCCTGCTCTCGCCCGCTGAATAAGGAGTCTTTGATGATCAAAGAAAGCGGAGCCAGCGGAATCATCGCCTCGCTGCCTGAAGCAGAGCCTTGCGGCAAATACGTAAACTTGAATACTCGTAATACAGGTTAGGGCCTGGGCTGTTAGGGCTCCGAGCGACCACTCAGGAAGCCTCAGCGCTGCGCGAGCTCCTGACTGGGTTGCGTGAGGAGGCGTTGCGCTTGCAGCAGGCGCCCCGTCGCCAGGGTTTTCGGTGCTGCTGAAGATAAGCTGTATGCTGTATGCCAACCACATATCCAGGAGAGCTCCTGCAAAGATCAGCTCCTTATGGATGCCAGCTTCAAAATGCAGTTGCTGGGCATGAGCCTCGTGCAGAAGGACATGCAGCTGGGCCTGAGCTCCTTTTCTCTGAGAATCGGCAGAAGACCCTAAGCCCTAAGCATCCGCTGACTTCGCGATTGAAAGAGCTCAGTGTTAATGTCTCAGGTTATCCCAACGCCTGCACAGATCCTGCTCAATGAGGGAAGCCACATCCCGGAGCATTTTGCCGTGCTTGTCGGGAGTATGGCAGCTCCGATTTCTCTCCAAGCCTACACTTCCTCCATCGCAGATATTCGGGCCATGATGAAGTCTTGGAGAGATCTCATGAGTAGCACATGCAGTAATTTTTAAGTTGTAACCCTCAACGTGTCTCATGAAAGATGGCACATGGCGAAGCTTTTCGATTGCGCAAATAGATATGTTAGTGAGAGTTTCACCTGCAGCCCGTCGGGGAGCCAACGTCTTTTCGAGCAAAACTGGGAGGCAATCGGAGTCGGGTCGGGGTGCAGGTTGAAAAGATGCGGTGGACAGTTCATACGAGTGGCACAGATGCGCAGGTGGCCGTTGGCCAGGACCAAGTGGAACGCCTCCAACGTGAAATCCAGGCACAGCGATCATGACCTGCAGTGGTGCCCATATGTGCCCATAAGCCTGCCTGTGCCTGGAAAGGCGTACACAGCCTAATTGGGTGCATTGGTTCACATGTCTTTGCTACTGCTGCAGGCGTTTCTTCCAAGTCAGCAGCAGATGCAGCAAGAAGCGCGACAGGTGGCCGATTGATGGAAGGTTTCACAGGTCGTGCACCCGGTCGCCCTCACAGGCCCAGCACGAGTCGGACAAAGCGAGGTCGCTGGCACAAAGACGCCGTGAGGCCATTGGCTGCCGGCTGTAATCGATGTCAAGTCTATCACGAAATGTTGTGTCGAACTGCTACTAGACTTCCCCGACTCCCGACCGACAGATCTCATGCGCTTGACTTTTGTGCAGGCTGTGTCCAAGCTTGAGGAGGAGGCTGTCTGCAAAGTGTGGAACGACACAAACAATGTTCCGTCAGGAGGAAAAGAACGGGTCAGAGGTTCTCCACCCATTTTCGGGTACGGATGTAGTGTCGGCTGTTGCTGGAACGCGGCTTTCTGTTTTTGCATACTCGTGTGGTTTAGTGCTCGAGTTCCTGGCTTGACCCTGTTTCGGGACACTGCCTTCACGGTATGATTCGATGATCTTTGCACTGGCAGAGAAATTCAGTGCGTGAGATCTTTTTGAAGACTGTGGGGCAAGCTTTGTCAGGCGCAGCAGGTCGAGCGAAGTGCGCATCTCAGTAAAGGCCGCTGCCAGCCAAAGAGCTCCCTTAGGCTGTCTAGTGGAACTGTCTAGTGGAGTTCTAACAAGAACAAAATCTATTCCCCAAACGTGTCAAAGGGTGACAAGGTGTGAAGCTACCTGCCCTGTAGTCTTTTCCTCGCATCTTGATTGCCGAGCTATTGGGGTCTCAACTGACTGGAGTTGAGTTGAGACTTCTTGGGATGTCAATTCGGCAAGCTTGGGTTGCCCCTGATTGGGAGGCGTTACAGAGTGCAGGCTACTGGTGAAGGTGTAGTCGAAGCTCGGGGCAGTCTAGGGCAATATTTTGTTGAGACATTTTTATGCCCGATCTTGCGAGATAAGAGAGACTTGAACATTGAGCGATTTGTCTTCTTTTGCTGTGTCCAGAGTCCAGACATATTGAAACCTGCCAGCTGTAAAGAACTGAATTGTCAAGACCTTAGCCTTACGCTGCGAAGCTGGTTAGTTACTTGTCTCAGACAAGCTCGCTTTCCCATCTTGGCCGCCTCCTCAGGGCCTTCACAACTTTGAAAGCAGAAGAGTTCTCAATACTCTACGCTCTGTCGGTCTTGGTTGCTGATGCCTTGAACATCTTTGATCGGCTTCTACAGATGTAAAGAGTTTGGCTGACACGGAAGTAAGTGGTTTCCAACTTGGACAAGCGTTGAAGTTGATCTAGGTTACGCGTATAACAGCATACCGCTCTGGAAGTTGGAGCTTGATTGGGACTGTTGAGGATTGACATGATGTATTCAGTTGGCTCCGTATAAACGAACCATGACAGGTTCTTGCGCGGGCCAGTCAAGTAAACTAGATAAATCGAAACCAGTGATGAAGGATCCGTCCGCGTTTCTTCTCTATCTCATGGTCAATGAGTCAGGTCGTCGGTGGGTGGATCTGCCTGTCTGCCTGATCGTCCTTCCTGGTCTGATTCGGTAGAGCGAGTTGCTGCTACAGGCCGTCAACTGTCAAAGCCCGAACCGCAGTCTCAAGGCGCAGAGGAGGAGCAGGCAACCATGAGCGCGAGGCCGTCCCCAAGCGTTACATCGAGATCTTGCTGAGGGCAGAGAGGCCTTTCGCACCGGTTCCCGTTCTCGTTTCCGATTTCGACAGGCTCGAACAGATGCGGACAGATCTGAACGAGACTGTGGCCTCTCGGCACATCGGGGTCTGGAATGAAGGGCTCCTGCTTCGCAGCACAACGGCACCAGACATGTGAAACGCGATGTCTTCAAAGTATGTTTTTGTCGCCACTTCGAGGCCAGCACGACAGAGTTAGGTGCGGGCCTGGCATCAGCTCCGTTCAGTTGCCAGTCTTCATTCAACATGACATGATTTCAAACCAGTTTCCGAGCTTTGCTGCCTCGTCTCCTCCGCTGCAACTTGGACTCCCAACCCACGAAGTGGGTGAATGACTACGTCACCACATGCAGTAGTCCTCACCTGGCTAGCGACGGAGTAAGCTCCGAGAGCAATTGCCCGTACGAAACAATCCGCCACCAAGACTCGTCGCATAGAGAGAGGAATTCACATATGTCTTAGGCACATCCAGCAAGCCCGACGAACCCTGACATTTAACGAATGTTGAGGGTGTTATGAACAAAGAGCAATGGGAGTTCCTCCTGGGAAACTGGCAAGATTGCCGAGAGAGCCACCTGTCAAGCATTGAGGCGAAGAGTGCGACTCACTGCTCGCAAGATTTCAGCAAGCGGGGCCTGTGGAGTAGCTGTTTCTGACTTTGCTCCCTTCGGGCTTGTTTCTGCCACGCGCTAGCTTCCGGCTACACTTGAGAGGCCTGCGTCCCCGGGTCCCCGACGTCGGACTTGATTGCGGAAGCTCCGTGAAATTGGGGTTGGGAATTTGGGGCACAGGGACAGTGCACCCGAGCTGCCGCCCAGTCGTGCTGCTGTTCGTGCTCGCCCCAGCTGGGGCTGATTGCGTTGCCAGTCTATTTTGATGCTATGTTTTCAGCGTGGCGAGTCCTTTGGCCAAGCTGATGCAGATGATGCGCACCTTACGGCAGTCCGCACCTCTCTGTGCCAATGATGCGATGATTCGAGACACCCTTATCTACAAGATTGTTTGACAGGGTGTGCATCGCAAAAGGTCGGACCCTGACCGGAAAGTCGAATCGAAGCCAAACGCCGAACTTGCTTTGCCCTTCCTTTCTTCTCAGTCGTTGCTCGTTCTCTGGACAAGACCGGCATGGTTCCGCGCAGTTGTTTTGTGTCATGCAGTCTTGTCGAAACTCTGGTGCTCGGAGCCTATGGCAGCCGTGCCAGCGGCACACTTGCTCCCAAATTACCTGCCGACGAGGTGGCAAATGCTATGCAGTCAGCTGGGCATCAAGCAACTCCGACTGCTTGACTGTGAAGACGATCACAAAAGGCCGCCGTGGCTTCATGGCTACTTGGTTCGTTCAGAAAGGTACGCATCCATTTCCATCGCATAGATGTGGCAGTACCTGACCGATCCTCCTATATACGTCAACACAGGTCCGCGCGAGCTACGACCAGAAACACGATTGCTTGCACTGGCCAAGTAGTCGGAACGGGGGCTTCACGTTGAGCCTGGCAGACTGTGGCGATACCGTGAGGCAATTGTGTTCAAACACATTGCCGCAGCCACTGTTTGTGCACTGCCTTGAACGGAGGTGGCGCTACAAGTCCACTCAAGAGCCAGCAAATGAGTGGATGCGTGTCCAGGACGGGGTGTTACGCTCTGCCTGTGCCTCTCTGCACCTGCTCGCAGTTGCATGTTTCTCTGTTTCTCCACCTCTTTCACTGCCCCTCTCTGAAGTGCGAATTTCTGCAGGATCGAGTTGCGCTTTTGGCCATGCTTGGGATAAGGAGGTCGGAGAACGAGCTCAGCTTCAGCGTAAGCGACCGCTCGAAGACGAGCCAGGCATGCCAGGAGAAGCAAGTCGCAAAGCAAAGGGTGCAATCTAGCACCTGTGGCACTATGTCAGGCGACGCTGACACTCTCTGCGAAGTGCCTGCTTCGAGCCTGGACCTGGAGTCGTTGGAGCTCGACAAGGGTCATGTCTTCTTTCAGCTGCTTGGCGAGGGGAGTCGATTGTCTTACAAGAGGGTTGTGCTGCTTTTGATGCAAAGAGATCTCTTTCGAGTGGCGGAACGTAGCTCTACGAGTATCTTCACAGTACGGGAAGCTTGGCTTGTCAAAACTCATCGGGATCTCCACAAGTGGTGACCGAAAGCAAAGCACCACTTGCCCGTGCTTGCACCTCGCCAAACCATCTCAGCCCTGGGATTGAATCCGAGAGGAAACAGACATCTAGTGCCGAAGATTGGACGCGAGCTTTCGGATAAGACTCTATAAGCCAGCCGCCTCTGCTGCGGAGGACAACTCTATGTCTCGGGCACAGATTTGCAGAACGTTGCAACGTTGTACTCAGGGTTAAACAGGTGGAGTCCCTCGCGTGAGAAGCGTGCTTTCTGTGGCAACCGAGGATCGTGACCTGTGGCAAAGATCGCTACATGAGCCATCACATGCAGGAGCAGGCCAGACGGTGGTGTCCGCAACACAGGGAAACCTTTTAAGAGTCTTTCCGGTCGCGATCCGCTTGTTTCGGGATGTCCAGATTTCCGCGGTGAAGCTTGATCGAGTCCCCGAGTCTCAGGCCATTGTCTTCGATGTCAGGAATTTCAAAGATCCTGCTGCCGGTAATCTGAAGCACCACGACGGACGCCACGATGAGATCATCGATCGGATCCGGTGCTTGCCTCAGGCCTCAGGCTAATGTCCAAGGCGGGGCTGCGTGGTGGCTCCCGGGAGCCTCTCGTGAGGCGGCACAGTGCCTTCCCGAACTTGGTGGTCAGCCTGCGCACCCGGATTGCCCAGGAGTTGCAGCGTTCAGGCCACTAGACGGGGCAGAGTTATGTCAAGCTTCGGAATTTCAAGACAGTTTAAGGCTTGGCTCCATGTGGTTCAGTTTTCAGCCTTTCAGCCTCAGGATCGACCTCCATCAAGGTTGTGTTTTACTGCAAGTCTGGACGCCACCGCTCCGTGGCCTTTGGAACCATGTTCAAGTACATCCTCCTCTACGAGGACTTCCGAAACTTGCAGAAAAATCCACTCGTTTGCTTAAAGCGGGTCGCTGAATGCTGGCCTGAAGTGCTGACTGTAGGCGCTGCTTTTTCTGCCTGTAAGAAGCTGCGCCAGCATCCTCACGTGTGATGCACCTGTAGTGCTCTGAGGCAACGTGAAGCTCGAACATGAGGGCAACTATGATGGTTTTGTGTGCTGCAGCTGTGACAGGTGGGAACGCACATGGAAGTACGTTGGAGAGACAGAAACACATGTTGGTTTTTTTCCGATTCGCTCGGATGAGGTGCACTAGCACGACTGCACTGCGCCTGAAAGCGTGTGAAGATGCCCTTCGAGACTGGAAGCGGATGAGCGCAGTGGCAGCATTATCCCTCCCCCGCCGTTGCTCAGTAGTAGTTCCAGCTTTGACTGCAGTGAACTCTTTGCGGATTCAGGACGCAGTCCATCTGTGTGATGGCGAAGCTCTTCCGTCTTGATTTGCATGGCGCGCTTGCAATCGAAACCTGCGCGCGACTGTGTCCGTTGCACGGCATGTCCGACATGTCATGCAACTGATGTCCAAAATATGTCCATGTTTCTGCCGCTGCACGTAGAACGGGAAGCTCACCGGATTTCAGTGAATGTTGGCGGTGCCGCAGGTGAGCAGGCTCGGAAAGCACAATCAAGTCACAACAGGCAGATGAAGGCTACTTGGCTCAAGACTGTGACGTCTTGTTTTTGCCAGTGTCTGTACGGAATTGGCCGTGCGGTTCCTGTTTGGTTTGTTTGGCTTGGGTTGCGCATGAATCTGTGAGAATGTTTTGTGCTATTCGCTTCAGGCTGTAAAGGGCAGCATACCTGCTAGGAGACGTGGCGAACACTTCTGGAGACTGCAGTGCTCGTAGCATATTCCAGATCTAGATTCTCGTGGTGCAGGCTGTGAAGACCGATGGAAGCGCCCTCCGGGATGCGTGGCCAACTGAGCTTCGCGCTGCTACATGACTTCGGCGGTTGCTTCAGCCATAGCGGAAATCCCTCTTGCAGAGCTTGGACTTGCGTGAGTTCTTGTCATCTTTTTCGGGTCTCTAGGATTCGGCCAGCTCTTGTCGGTCTGATCTCCTGTGGCTCTCGTCCCGGACACCTCAAGCTTCTGACCCCAAAGATTCCGAAGCAAGGCCCCTACGATGGGCCCGTCCATCGGCTAGACTGCAGGTGTGTGCTGTTGACTTCCCACCTGCGAACATTGCACGTCTTGAGAGCTCATAGGTAAGGTTAGTCCGCTGCAGTCGGCTTGCAAGTTCTCCCTCTTGCCTTGCCGCTGGTCGAGCTTGAGCTGTCATGTTCTCAAGCCTGGCATCTTCAGGTTGGCAGACGTTGGTCAGGAAAAGGAGGACATGGAAGCGTGGGCCTCAGCCGCACGAAGCGTTAGCGGACGGCCGGCTTTCGACTCATCTTCAATGACGCGCTGCAAACTCTGGCAATTTCTCTGTAAGATCAATTTCTCTGTAAGATCTCGCAAGGTGGAGCTGTCGCGACTCAGAGACACCGTGGGAAGCCTGAGCCCTTGCATCCGAAGACGGCTTTTCCGCTTCCCTCCACTGGCTGCCGCTCGGCGGCTGCCGCTCGGAGGTGCTGCGGCCGAGGACCGAGGGCGCCGAGAGCGCCTCGCCGAAGCCGAGGCCACCCGCCAGGCCCAGCTAAGACAGAGCAAGAGAAGAGAGCCAGTGACAAGCGGGCAAGCGACAACTGCAAACGTGGTCTCACGGGATGCCACGGGGGGGTGGGGGATCGGACTCGCGATTCACTTTGGGCTGTAACTCGTGGTTTCAACATGAGGACGAAGCTGTTCAAAAAGATCGAGTCGTTGTTGCTTCCACAGCAGCCATTTGCCATGCCGAGTCTCAGACACATGAGCTAGCCGCTAGCCAGGCACGAACGCAGAGAAATGATTGCCAGCTGCTAGCTTGCTTCGCACAATGGCGACTGGCCATAGCAATGGCTTTGAGGAGCCAGTGAAGCTGGAGCTGCCAGCAGACGACTGGAAATCCGTGGCTCTACTTTCAGGCAGGGGGGGCAGGGATCGTCGCGACGGCTTTCCTTGCCCACTCGCTTTGTTGCAGGGGCTTGGGCCGCAGCTTTCGCGGTTTTCGCGTCCAATGTGGCGACGCTCACCCTGGCTGTCGCGGAGACAGCACCGGCAGTGGAGCTGGAGACACTGCCTCTGGGCCTTGCCCTGGTCATGCAAGGACCGATTCCCAAACCTAGGGTAGGCCGAAAGGTAGCTGCCAGCCACGTGTCCGAAAACTCGTAGGAGGTTCTAGACGAAGGAGAATTCAGTGAGAGTGTAGGGCTAGGGCCTGGCGAGGCATTGGAACCATGGCACTTCCGACGAAAGTGCGCTACCTCGGGCGCAAGTACATGCAACTCAGATGCGCAGCGTGTGTCTCCAGCTTGGGTTCACGGTGTCTGACGGTGCGCGTTAAGGTACCTCGCTGGCGCAGGAGTTGGGCTGATTAGCTGCTTAGCGCTCGCACTGGGCTCATGGCTACTGGACTTCGGCCTGCAGTGCCTCGGTGCTTGCCTGCTAGGCAGGGCATGGCAGCTCTGCTCGTGCTTGGCATGCTTGGCTGATCTTGGCTGATCTTGGCTGCTTGCCCCTGGCCCTGAGGCTATAGCTTCGCCCACGCGCAGAACTATCGCTTCGGCGCTATCCTGGCAATGCCCTCCAATCCACCACGTGCCATCAGCTCCGTTCTTTTCGGGGGTGTCGTCGGAGTGGCTTGGCAGAAGACCTTGGATGCAGGGCAAGGTTGGGAGCTGGAGCTTTTGGCACTGTGATTTTCCAAGGCACTCGTGGGCCCTGGGGCCATTTCTCAGGCGCGAGACTTGCTGCTGGCCTGAGCTTCAAGGTCGATCATTTGTTCCAGTCTTTTGTTGCGTGGAGTAGAGAGGATTGGGGAAGGCTCCTGTAGTCAGTGCAGATTCAGCAGCCTGTGCCTGGTACATCTGTAACTAGATACTTCACGGTGGGCGTCACCCAGTGGACAGCGAAGAATCATCGAGCAAGAGGAGCATCAAGATGACTCTGCAAAACCTTGAAGATTCCCCGGAGTGGAACTTGCGCTGCATGGGGATTCGAGTTGTCACAGCTTGACCTTGCCGCATCAGTTCTGTTGCGACCCAGGCTGCCCGTCCCTTTCATGGGCATCTACCTGTGCCTTCGTCCTTGTTGTGACTCTCTCGTCTTCCGGAGCCACGACACGTAAAGCTCATGACGGTGCATCGTCAGGGGTTTCGGCAATGCAGAAGATTCAATCAGCCTAGCACCTTGCATCAAGGAGCGGTTGACAGAAGCGTCAGGGTGTCGCCGAGGTGCGGAGGCGTTCTCAACCTGCTGGCACTACTGTTGCTGAGCTTCATTGAGCTCCCGGGAGTGGCACCGAAGGCACCAACTGGCGACCAGCCACGGCGCCTCGCGAAGAGCCAGAGCTTGACAACAGTAATTAGTGCTTCTTTTCTACTATGAGATCTCTCCATGCTTCCGGCTTCAGGGGCACGGATTTTTTGAGGATCTTGCTGCAGCCGCGGTGTGGCGCTGCCATCATCACGCTGACTGCCTCCTACTGCATCATGCTTGTGCTTATGGCTCCGGCTCCTGCTGTCATGCAGAACTTCTATTCTCATTCTTTCACGGCATCCACATTGACCATGATGGGACACATGTGCCGCACCGATTAGCAGCACTCTTTGTTTTGTAAGTTTGCGTGAGCCGCGGAGCCAGCCGCTGGCCCCGCTTAGTTGGTTTGATTTGGTTTGGGTCCATCAGCAGAACCGCAGCAGCATCGGCATTTTGTCCGACACTGACTAAGCTTCGCGGTAGTGCCCGACTGGGCGACGAGGTTAAGCGCAGTCGCATTTCCTGAGGTTTTGCATGTTCGCACCATCGCCGCTGACTGGTATCGCCATGGCACGAGCGGGTTCCGAGCCAGTCATTGCGGCCGGACTTCTTTGTGCCGCCTTGACAGCCCTTGTGTGCCTGCGGTGGCAAGTTCATGCTATGCTGAGTTGGCACGCGTTCTAAGCCCGAGTTCTGAAGCTGTTCACGGGTCGCTGCAACAATGGGCTAAGCGTCTCAGAGCGTCTTGGAAGCCGTCCCGTGCTTAGGCTCTGCCTCGGCACGAGCCTCCCGTATTTTGTGGTCGGTATGGCGCTGCTGGGCTTTGCAGCTCACTGCAAAGAAAGTGCTGAGATTCCGAGGGGCGGAGATCGACCGGTCGATAGGTTTCTCAAGGACTCGAAGCATCGATTCGCCAGTAGTCACAGTCTGCAACATTGTGTGCGGAGGGACATGTGTGGTCAGTTCGAAGCCGCGGCTTGATTTGCCCCCGTCCCCCCGGCCCCCGCCCCCCGCCCCCCCCCCGCCGCAACGCCCCGCTCGCCAAAACCCCCCCTTTTCCAACTTCCGGTACCATTACTAGCCGTAGTCCTTGATAGCTATATTGCTACCGCTAACTCTACTGCGGTCGCTCCGTCACTGCCACTGCTACAGCTAGTGCTATGGTACTGCTATTGCTTCTTTCTGCTGCTGTTGGCCCCATCGTATAGGTTTTCACTACCGTTACTACTGCCCCGCGGCTGCAGTTTGCTCGTCGTTGTGGACTTTGGAGCTAGAGTTACGCGCCAACAACCCGCCAATACCTAAAGCTCAAAGCTTCGACGTTTTTGAGACCTGCTTCTGAGACCTCCTTGTCCGCCCTTTCCTTGCCCTGCCGCTCTCAGTGCCGCTGCTGTTCTGTCGCCCGTGCCAATCCTGCTGCTACTGCGACTGTTGCCGTTGCCACTTCTGCTAATGCTGCTGGTGTTGCTAGTCATCACTGGCAATGTCCCCCATGCACCAATCTTCGCCTTCCGTCCAGCCTTGCTTAAGTCCAGGCAGGCTTGTCTTGGTTTCGTATGGTGGAATGATATGGCTCACATGGCATCACTTGAGCATGTGCAGTTCTTCTGTAATGTTGACTCAGGCATGGAACTTCATGTACATCGGAGGTTCGGCGCTGCTTACAAAGTCCTACGCCCCTTCGGAGGGCCCAAAGCTGCAGGCAGTGACAGCAGCTGGGCGATGGAAGGGTGGAGTGTGGAGTGTGGGATGCCCAAAATCAGTTCGCAGTCAGTGGCCAGTCTTTTTGTTGCGAGCTCGGTCGTGTATGACAGGTGTGCTGAGTTCTTATAGGACACCGCGAACGCGATTCCAGCGGTAGTGTGGCCGTTGACTGGCCCTGACTGAATATCAAGCTTGTGTGACAGATGCCAGAACGAGGACACTGCCGTCAACTTTGGGGCGGCCAGCTTCACCCTCCTGTCCATGCCGATCGTGTCTAGCATAAGTTGCCTTGCGGCATCTTGGAGCCATCTGACTCTGACTTGTCGGGATCCAGTTGCTGTGTGTGTGTGTGGCAATTCGGGATGAGCAGAAGGTGTTCGACAGAGAGAGAACAGGATGGTGCCGACTGATAGTTTCCAGTTTTGGAAACACGTTCCTCCATCAAGGTTGGATTCCCACGCAGCTGTTGCACTTCGCAATGACCGGAGCAACTGCACCCTGTCTCTCACAACCAGCGAGTTTGCACTCCTTGAGCTTCTAGTCCCAGGCCTTTGGCATGACTGAGCGCAGTTGGGATGCTTAGGCGCTCCTCCTTGGCATTTGCTGGGCGCTCGACCGACGACAAGCGGCAACCTCCTGATTCGGGCCCCGGTGCTTTTCAATTCTGTACAGGTCTGTCGTGCAAGCTGCCTTTATAGGCAAGCTAGTTCGCGACGAATCATTCTTTGTGTTTCCGGCCTGAACTTGTATGGATGGCCAGATTATTGGGAGAGCTCCCGAAAAGATTTTCCGCGGCGAACGGGGTCACTATATCAAAAGCAGCTGTCTTCTCCTTAGCCGCCTCAGCTTTAAAGTCATGTTCAGCTCAAGCCCAGACCTTTCAGGGGCTCTCGAAGTCGTAGTCGAGTCATGCAGCGATGCGTTTTTCTTCGGAGAAAGGTTTGTCGGATGGAACAAGCTTCTCCGATCTTGCCTGTCAAGGGACAGACATGTCTCCGTTCTGGACGCGCTGCTGGGCTAAATCAAAACGTCCACGACAGCGCGGAGCTTTACTGCGATACAGTGCGGCCCTGCGCTGAATGCCTTATCCTTTCCCAGAAATCTCGTACAACGACTGGTGCAGGCCTTGCTGCAGCAGGTGGCCTTGGAAGAGCAATCGCTCAACCAAGCAAGAACCCCGGATCTTCCTGCTCGTTGTGCTTATTTGGTGGCACAGGGTGTGCAGCTTCCGCTCCGAAACCGGCGCCGTGATGCTGAGAGCAAGAGAGAAGTAGTTGTGTGCAGTGGCCTGAGCAAGCAGCAGTCTGTGAGCCATGACTTTCCAGCGCCTCGTTGTGGCATCGTGACTTAGCGTGCAAGATGCTGTTCTTTCGCTCCTCGCGTACTGCAGTGTTTCGCTGGTGACTGTCATATTTGCATATATTTGCATGTGCTCATGTTTGATTTTCATATATGATAGAATATAGAATGACATATAAGAGCATATGGCAATATATGTAACTTAGTTAGCATGCAAGAAAGTAGCAATACAGAGCACAATATGTTATAATATGAGGTTATGACAAGTAACATCTAAGATGGCAGATACCGTATTTGGAAGACAACAGACACACTCACACAAGAAGCAGTGGAATAACAGTCGGCAAGAAGGCTTGAATGGATCACAGGGGGGGCGACCATATATGCATGTAACTACATATGTACACACACTATCATATACTTATATGTGTACCTATTTGCATGTTTGCGCGCGTGTGTCTCTCTGTGTGTGTGTGTTTTGTTTTTGGTGATTTTAGTGTGCATTTAGTTTGGCTTCTCGAAACACAAGGCTCCTGATTCTGTGCGGGACTTAGCCAGCACAGGGTGCCATCCCTTCCGGCCATTTTTCTGGTGCTCGGTAAGATTCAACCACCGTCACTAAATTGCATGCCGTTTGCAAGGCCCTCTGCAGCAGACTTCCTGGCGCCACGCCCTGACAGGCATCGGTGGACATGAGCTTGTCCGGTCATCATGCTTCCCTAACGAGTACAAATAATCTCATATTTCAGAGATGCCCAAGGCCGAGGTCGATGTCAATCGCACGCAGGAGGAATGTAAATATTCCGGCTATACCAAGTCCTTGATTTATCGTGATTGTAACGCTGCATGGATCCACATCCCCTTGAACTTGCACGGAAACACGGTGTTTGCTCTGCGCACGGCTTAATTCCAATCAACTTATTTGTATCTCGGCAGGTTTCGACTTTTGTGTCGCTATTCCATCTCTTGGCGATTCCGCCCAAGGTGGCATTCACAGAACTATTCCTCTCAAGTTCCAGAGGTTCCGGCCACGGTGCCTGCTGGTCATCCATTTGCCTGGCATCGTGATTTAAGTGTTCCCGGCATCCCCAGAGCAAGTCCCCACCATCAACCCCCTTTGCCTGAGCGTCCCCACTGGTGGCACCTGCGAGTCCTCCCAGCCCGGGTCTGCCCGACCTCTACCAAAATGGGGTGGCTGTTGGGCTAGGCAATCTCTCTCTTCGCTCACCCGAGTCCATTGAAATCTGGAGTAGACCGTCTCTGCATTTTTGTGCCCAGAACTCGCGAAAATCGCACCAACCACATTGACGGGGGGGGTCAAGCTCCTCGAGAGGTTGCAGGGGAACTCGTCTAAGCGAGCTTCCAGTCCTCTCAGAGTCGGATCGTCAGGATGCTTGAAGCGACCTTCGGGAACGACGTGGCGATTTGCGAGAACTTCGCGTCTTGGCTCTGAACGCAGGCAGTCTAACTGCTTCCATACCACGCTGACCGAGGATTACCGAGAGTGCGTGGAGGGTATCTTCCATCAGAACATGCACCCTGGTACGACCAGCCAATGCGGAGTGCGGTGTTTGCAGAAGTTTCTCATCGCAGTCGAAGTCAGCCTTGGAACTCTCAGGACTGAGTCTGTCAAGAAATGCTGCGAACGTCCCGTGAAGCAAGCGTGGCAAACCATGAGGCACATGTGTCAACACCGTCGCGCTGTACGATGCAATACACATGTGAAACCCGAGAGACTTCCGTTCCAAAAGCTCACATCGACATCAGTCACTGCATTGGCGTTCAATGCCCAAACACCAATGTAGCAAAGCTGTCAGTGCGAGACCTAATTGCAAAAAAACATCGCAGACCCAAGAAGCTGCATCACATCATTGAGGTTGATCTAGCGCTTCCGGATCCTTGCCATATTCTTTTGAGAGCAATTCTTCGCGATGCAGGCGGGAGATGCCATGGTGGGGCTGGCCAATTCTGGCCATCGGCTTCTCAGCAGTGTGATACCTGTATTCCAGCATTGTCAGCAGCTGTGGCAGTGTGGTATCCCGTAGAGAATCGAGTCAGCGATGCCATACGGCTCGCGTAGCCGAGGTGTGGTGGTTGTCATCACATGCTGCGCCACTTGCTTGGTGCGCCTGGGGTGTGCCTCTTGGGCAGAACTTGTTTCGCCTCATCCTTTATCGGACATGCTGCTGGATCTAAATGCACGCCACCAGTCCGTGATACGAGTACCGTGGACAGAGAGACGGCATGATAAGATCTAAGCGAAGCCGGAACAGAAGCGCAGTGGTAAGCACCCAGGAGCTGCTGTGCAAGATCCTTTGCTGCCCTTGCCGGAGTTTCTGCCGCTGAGCCTTGGCCAGTCTCAGGGGTGGGGATGGGGGGACGGGGACTCTCCAGCCTGACGAACGAGCCGGCATAGCCACAGCTCTGCAGTAAGGCCTCTGTGGCAGCTCGAAATGATTGTGTAGATCGCCGCGGACTTCACCAGTCCGGAGTCGTGAGCCTCAGCCCATCATGTGTGTATGATCTAGGGAGGTTTGTCGAGCTTCTGAGTCTGCAGCAGCATTGACGTAGCAGCCTTGTCATGCACTTCAGCGGCACCTGTGAAACAACGAGCGTCCAAGGACTTTTGGTTGGCACTTCAAGTGACGACCTTTTGCCGGAAGCAGACTGCACAGATGTTCTGCATGGAGCTGCTTCTGTTTGTTCTCGTGGCATGCTGACTTGCAACAGACGAGCCGGTAGTTGCGTCAAGTGTACAGCGAAATGCATGGCATTTAAAGATGCCTTGTCTCGTACAGCAATTCAAGAGCATCCATAGCGCATGCAGCGCGCATGTTATGTAAAGCCAAAAGGTTTGCATGCTACAGGAGAGAGCAAGATCGACATGAAGCACATGAAGCGTGTTATGTGCAGAGCTTTTCGAGGCTGAAGCCGCAAATGCCGAAGCCAGCGGGACGCGGGCCGACGCCATCAAGGAATCAGTGTGCCTACGCATCATGGGCATGTCCAAGAAGTGTCCCGCCCTGCCCCTTCCTTCCTCCATTCCTCCTTTCCAGGAGGGTCTTCAGCAGGCACGGCTTGCGCTGAGCCGGGCGGAGCAGGCGCGGGGCTTTGCCCTTGCTGCATTGCATTTCTTGCAGCATCGCTGCAGGAGGCGGCTCAAGTGTCCGAGGAAGCTCAGGAGGCACTGCGGACCCTGGAGGCACTTGGGCACTCTGAAACTGACTCGATCTGACTCGCAATTGCTTGGCCTCCCTTTCCCTTGCCTTTTACCTGGCCGTGGTCAGGCTCTCTGCGCGGAGAGGACGCGCATGAAAGGCTCTTGGGCTGGTGGGGGGAGTTTGGGCCAAAGGGGGCCGTTGGCCGTGGCACTCGAAGGCGAGACCGGCCCGGAGGCTGCGAAGCGCCGCGTACAGCTCACAGAGGCGCCAGAGTCAGAGCCTTGCGCTTTGGCCCCCCGCTGCCGAGTTCCGTCTCGCCGAGGCGCTCACCAAAGAGGAGGGTCAGCTCTCGGCAGAACAGGAGCAGTTGAAGGCCAAAATGTGCTGTCTCCGGAGTACGACTTCGGACGAAAGTTGCTGCAGGTGCAATCCAAGTCAGCAGAAGAGAAGCTTGACTGGTTAAGGCAGGTGCACAGCAGCGCATACTTGCATTTGCATTCGCAGTACCCTCCGCTGCAGGCACTTGCGTGATGTTCAGGAGCCCTGCTCTCAGAGTCTCAGTCTGCCTCAGGGAAGTTCCGAGGAGAAGAAAGAAACGCCAAGCTTTCCCTTTTGCGGGCCATCGAGCGCAAGCGCGACCTTGCCCGAGGTATGCTCGCTCCGCAGCTAAGGAGTCAGCGAACAACTTTCGAGGCTGTGCTTTGGAGTCGGTGCATTCTGAGTCATTCTACTAGTATGCCGCGTTTCTTAGCACATCGCCTGCTTCTGCATCGATGCACATGCTCATTATCCTGCCTCCATCTTGCCCAGCCCAGATTGCTGCCAGTTGCATACACCGACATTGCCAAGTCCTCTCGCTCTTCCACTGCACGGCACCAAGTCAAATAGTCCTGCTGGCGGCTACGAAGCTCTTGTATCGATCTCAAGGAAGACGCCGGCTTTAAGCATGGGTCTATGAAAAAAAAGCGAAGTTGTCGACACGGGGATTCGCAAGTTGGACCACTCGGTTTTCCCAAGGCACGGCCAGCGGCGGGGACCTCGGGGACTTCTCCAGCGCCCGAGGCAGCGAACCGGTCGGCACGCAGGCGCAGCAGAGAGCAGCGTGAGAGAACAGAAGAGAAGAGTTGTTTTCACGAATTTGCATGCCCCCGGAAGAGCCACCCATTTACTTTATCACCAGGCTTTCGCGGCATTTGGATGATTTCCTGCGCTTCATGGCGGAGGCAGGCTTGCCCTGGTTGAACCTAGAAAGCTACTCCTGCTCTGAAGCTCTCCAACTGTACTGCAGCTGGAAAAAGGCCCTCAAAAAGCAACTCCTGCTCTGAAGGTCGTTGCCGTGGGTGAAGCCCATGAAGAGACATCGCAGTGAAACGCTCAGGGAGTTTCAGAGCGACCGCCGTGCGCTACAAGTCTTTGTCAAGTCGCATCAGTGACGTTTTGGGCTAGAAGGTTGCCACTGCAGCAGATGGTGAACCTGAACTTGCCAGCTGTGCTGAAGGAGGCTAGTTCGGGATCATTCGGAGGACCGCAGCGTGCCTCTAGCATCCTGCAAGCCAGGCCTACATGGGAAAGTTCGTCCAAAGTGACGATGGGATGAGGTGCCATCGGTTGGCTGAGCTTCAGTGTTTGCAAAAGTAAAGAGTAAAGAGACTCACTGGTGCCAGTCAAGCACAGCAGCTGGACAGCTCCAAAGAGAAGCTGAAGGCCTTTGCCCGGAGCGGTCGGTGTACTGATTGTCCCCTGCAATAATTGCATCTGCTAGGTTCTGAAGCGTGAGCTGAATGATGTTGGCCTGGGCACCTATCGCAAGCTCCACGCGTGTTGAGAAGTGCAAAGCTCCAGATTCGCCCCCTGAACCCTGTCGAGGCCATCAGAACGAGACTCAGAGTCCGGGACGCGAGAGGGCACTGTTCGACACAAACCAGCACAGCCAACTTCTCGCAAACTTGGATGCTCCATCGCTAAGGTCTGACAAAGGACTTGGCGGAGCTTCGAAGGCAGATCGCCGAAGGCTCTGATCTTGCACGTCGCACCTGAGCGCGACCGAAGCGATTCGCCCTTGAATTCTGCTCGGAGAAAGTCCAGAGCTTCCAGGCGAGGCCAAGAGCCGCGAGGACCGGCAGCGATGTGAGGAGGCGCTGGGCCGTGACGCCACTGACTGAGTCGCTGCTTCGCGTCGCTTCGCGCAGGCCCAGCAGCGCCTGCGAGAAGGTTTCAAGAAGGCCGGCTACCGCCGCAACGAGGCCCAGGGCCAGAGATCTAAGTGTCTGCCGCAGGAGCGTTCGGAGCCCCATTCAGAGGGGAGTGGAGTGGCTTCAGACTGAGAGAGTTGGGCAAACTGCCATGCCATTCTGCTCCAGCGAAGGTCTCTGTACACAGGTCTGCCCACATGTTCAAGCGTAATTACCGACTCTGGCTTCAAAGCAGGGCGACACATTCGGGGACTTTACCGAAATTGCTTGCAATATAGAAAGCGCCGAGATATGCAAGAGCAGCAAGCACGTGACTGAGACCGACGTTTGCAATCGTTGACACTGTGCGCAATAGTTTGAGACTGTCCATCCCGCACTTCTGCAGCACGCGGGAGCGAAACGAGGCCACCTGGCAGCAATACAGTGGTGTGTGCGTGTGTGTGCGAGTGTGTGTGTGTGTGTCCCTGTGGATGTGTTCTGGGGGCAAGTGTGAGAATCCGTCTTGGTTGCCTGTGAGGCCTTCAGTCTTTGTTGCTTACGACAGATCCTCCCTGGCCTCGCACGGAAATGAGGCGGATGGGCACTTCTACCTGGGCATGCAGTCTGCCTCTGGTGGAAGGCTTCCCAACTCTCTTCAAGGGGAGATTTCCTGACTTTCCTGATCGATTGGGTGTTCGGTTACATAGGGCCAGTCCCTCCTCTTCTTTTTCTCTGACCTAGCCGCCTTGAATTTCACTCTTCACGTTTTGGCAGGTCATGGTAAGAGGCAGCGGCAGTCCAGGAAGCTGCGCCAACTTGAGGTGCAGAAGCCCCAAATGTGGCTGCCTCGGTGTTTTGCCGTTCCATGACGAATGCCAACGCTCTATAGTGACTGTAGCGCTAGCACTGTCAGCAGACACTTGAGTCAAGAAGCTCAGCTATTGATGGAGAAGTTCGCCTCCATGCGAAGCATGTGATTCTCATTCACCTGCATTCTGACTTGCAGCTGTTGAAGTTGACGCAGTCGTGCAAATTGCGCTGTGCCGCTGTGCGGTTGCTCTGAGAGGCTGAAGAGCCGCCCCTCGCAGCCACACTTGGCTCTGCCTCGCAGCGAGGTAAGAGCAAAGGCGGGGGCTTCGATGGCCACCAGTGCCAACTCCATGCCTGCTGCCAGGATGCTGGCCCTTTGAAGTCGCTCTTGAGGCCCCCCAGGCAACCTGCAATTTGCAAGCATCTGCAAGCATCTGCAAGCTTTGCAAGCGTTTCGTGCCTCCCAAAGCCCAGCCCCAGGCGTGCTCGCCAGGGAGCTGTTTCGTCTCATGACCTGCTCCAGGCCAGTTCCTCCGCAGACTGTTTGGACATACGTTGTGGCCTCGGCAGCAGCGTTGGAACAACGAACAGTTGCGAACTCCGACTCTCCCTGCCCAGTTCCGCCGCAAGCTGGCGGCTTTTGGCTGCCGCCTGCGCCGGCGCAGTGGCCCAGGCGCAGAATCTTAGAAGCCATTGTGGACCCCGTCACTGTCAGTTGAGAATCTCGCAAAGGTGTTTCATGGTGTTTCGGTGGCATCCCTGTGAATGACAAAAAGCTGTGGCTAGAGATGCTACTGCTTGCTCGGAGGCTCGCGTGGAGTCGGCTTTCAACCTTCTGTTCGTGTACTGTCCTACCCCCGAAAGCTCTGTGGCCCTCGGCTCAGAGGGCGAGGTGTGATGGAAGCTTTGTGGGGGCTGCCCATCAAGTCGTGTAGAATCGGCGGCGGAAAGAACATGAACAGTTCCAAATACAAGCGCTCGGAGGTGGGGACGGTGTGCCAACAGACGGCTCCCCGATTGCCTTGGGCCTTGGCGGCGTGGCCACGGAAAGTGAGGCCACTCTGGGTTCCGGTTGATTCGCCAGCAAGCGAACCTGAGCTTTGTCCCCGATCCGACCGAAAAAAGAATTGGTTTCAGGTCGCTCTGAACAGTGGACCTCGCGGAGTGCCATCAGATCAGATTTCATGGATGCCCGCGGAGATGCGTGCTGGGCCTAGCGGGCCTAGCGGGCCTGGCAAGGACCGATTGTTTGTGTTTGGGCATGGCAAGCAGAACCTTCGCTGAGCAACGCTGAGCAAGCTCGCCTCCCCACGAGTGGCGCTGCCATGAGCAACCGCAGTAGCGTGTGCAACCGAGATTTAAGAAGGCAGGAGCTGGTGTCATGCTGAGGTGAACAAGTGCTTGCGGATGCCATGGGCCCGCAGAGCTTCGCGTCTGCGCAGGCAGAGCTGCAGCCAGAGATGCCGCACGGCTGCATTGCGGGTGCCCTTGACATGTCACTTTCGTGCTGTCTTCTGGGCTCAAGACAGAGCGCACATAGAATTGTGGAAGCATACCTGCATTGCTGCCTTGGGCTTTCTGAGGATGCAGCTCCTCAGCCTCCGTCGTGACACCACGGAGGAGAGAAGTGTCATCCCCTCTTGACAGAAGAGGATGAAGAGGGAAGGGAGACAGCAACGCATGAACTCGTTTTTTTTTTTGTCTTTCTTCTTGTGACGCTGCTCAAGCATCGGCTCAAGAGCGCATAGTCGTCACCGCATGTCAGTGCATCGCATCGCAGCACAGCGATGACTCTTATAACCAGCTGCATGGCAGCCGGGCCATGACCCAGCAAGCTCTGAAACAACTTTAGCTCTCGCGGCTTCGGCATTTAAGCCTGATGTCAAGCCCATGCACTTCAGAGCCACAGGACTAGCTGACTAGCAAAGCCGTGCTTTCTGCCGGTCTTGCACCTCTCGGAGCTGTGTGCTTTGGGAGATATCCCGCGCCTTGTTGACTCCATCTGCCGGAAGGATGAGCCTGGCACGGGAGAGCAGGCAGAGGAGCAGGCAGCCGACGTAGCGCACTTTTGATTCACACCGCACAAGTAGAAACGTAAACCAAGGAAGAGAGCGAAGAGGAAGTCTCAGCCCTGGTCGATGAGGATGGCCGCGTTTGCAGCGCACAAGGCAGGAGGGACATCTTACGGCTTGCCGACCTTGAGCCCAGCAGCGACGCGACGTCTGTCAGGCCCGTTAACTCGGTCGATGGCCTTTGAGCCGGGCTCCCGCGTTTTCGATGCCTTCCTGGCTGCTTCCTGCCTGTCCCCTCTGCGGCGCTGTGCCGAAGCCGCTTTCCAGGCGAGGGGCGCAGTTGGCACTTGCTCACTTTGTTCTGCTACTGCGATTTTCCGGAGGCCCGACCCAGCAAAGGGCGCTGCTCAGCTGCGAAAGATGCGAGCTCTGCCAGCCTGAGCTTCCTCAGGAGCTTTGCTCCTCAATCCTCTTGCCTCTGAGGCTATAGCTCTGGAAAGACCTTCTGGGCAGAGTGGGGCCAGGTGGACCTGTTCGCTGTTCCGTCACAGCATGAACACCCCAAAAGAACTACACAGAACAGGAGCCGCGCTGCGAGCTCGAAGCGCTAGCGTGACTTGGCCTGCTCTGACTCCCTGAGGCATTCTGCGCTGCACATTGGGAGTGCACATGCCTGTTGAGGTTGGCCATCCTTCATCGACATTGTCCAGATCCTGCTGCTTCGGCCGGGGTCGAGTGGTGGACTCTTTGCTTGGTGCTTTGTCCAGAAACCAGGATTTCCAGGTGTCGAGCTTGCCGGGCTGGGTATTCGTTTCCGAGTCTCGCAAGGACATCGATGCAGATGTCGGCTGGCACTGGGACCGTGACTACGTCTTGGAAGACAGTGGTGTAAATCTTCACCCGATGCTTGGCACGGTGACCTACCTTTCTGGAGAACCTTCGTGCCTCGTTCACAGTGAAGGCTTGAGGCGATATGGCAAACCATATGGGCTTATCAGAGAAACTCTCGGGAGATCCAGCTGCGCGCGCAGGTCTGGGAGCTCCGCGACAGGGCAACTCTGAGCCTTGCCTTCAGTCATGCGGCTTTTGCTTGTGGTCCAACACTGCACAGTTGACTTTACAGGAACCGCAGATTCGTTAAGGCACTTTGACTCTGGATGTGATTTCCCCTACGTCCCGTGAGAACGGGCTGCCGGTGGCGCTGCCGGCGGGAAAGAGCGTGCGAGCTCTCGGTCTGGTCGTCCCACCCAGGCTCTTAAAGGCTTAGAGTGCCCTGCTCCACTGCTACGCTGCGCAGCACAGTCTCTCTTCAGGGCCGGTCGGCACTTGGTCTTCGATGGCCGCTTTCTTCACGGCGCCCCACGCTTTCCTTCATGTGAACCGGCGAAGGCATCGGAGGCTCGTTTTGAGGGGTTTCGTCGCTGTGCACTGGCGTCCAGACTGACGTGCACAGCGGTCTCCGAGTGACCTTTTTGGCTGCTTCGCTGCAACCGAAGTTGACGAGTGGCTTCCTTGCAGTCGGCGACACGACGCCTTTTCTAAGGCCAATATCTGGGTCGGACACAAGCCAGGCAGGGGCTGGGGCTGTCGCAGCAAAGCAGCGCGGCATAGGCACTGCCTTGGCAGGAAATGCGTCCCCCCTTCCCTCGGAGCTGCAGCGATGGACGGAGGAGCCCAGGGCCAGGGCCGGGGGTGTACTGGTGGAAAGAAGCCCCTTCCAAGGAGTCTCCGGCGCTCCGTTCAGCTGGCACCGATGCTCTGCTGCGCTACGGGAATGTCCCACACTGTCAGCTTTCTTGGCCCTAGCAGAGTACCGTCTTATGTCTCACATGTGGCATCACATAATGGGGATGAGTCAGCACGTCGGTCTGATCTCGAGCGATGCTGCACTCTGGCTGAACCTGGAAAGGTCGCGAGGACTTTGCTCTAGTGGTTCCAATCAGCTCTCTGCTCAACCCAGGTCCTGTCGCCCTGCCCGAAGCCAGTGCAGCCCAAAGAGGCCGAGAGACGCAAGCCGAGAGACGTCGGGTATGGCACGTTCGGCTTTAGCAGAGCCAGGTTGAGCCTGGCAGCACTTCGACATCGTTTCCACTTGAGGGCGGCATGCTGTCGGTGGCACCACCCGAGGGCTTGCTCCTTAGAGGTCAGCGTTTGTCCGTATCGATGGTTTCCTTGCACGGCCTCGTTGTTTGAGGCGCAGGCGGGGACGTGGCGTCTTACCTGGCCCCCGTGTCGTGGACGATCCCTGGCTACGCTTTAGCCGCTAACTTTAGCCTGGCTTGGGGAGTTGCAGGTACTTGCCGCAGCTCTGGCTTCCCTGCAATTCTGTCCGGGGCGCAAAGATTTGCTTGACAATCAAATCCAGGCAGAAGAAGCGGCGGCGGAAGATGCCACGACTGCGAGTGTCGCAGGGAAAACAAGCCGGAACTTGGGTTTATGCCAGGATGATCATAGTACTGTAGGTCGTCGAACCCTGACTTTAACGGCCTCCATGCCAATTCGTCTTTTCGGGAATATCATAGACTTAGAGACGACTAGCATCAACGAGCGGCGAGGCCTGCCCGGATCTAGTGCCCGTGCTATCCCGTGCTCGTGAGTCCCATCAAACAACCACCAGGATGGCAAGGACGTGGCCATGATGCCGCAGTCCATGCAGGACGGCAATGTCGCCCGCCGCCTGCTGCGATTCTGGTTCTTTGCACTGACACTGACATCGAAAAGCTACTGCAGCTGTGGCTTCTGGGGCTCCTGAGATCTGACAGGAGGCGATCACACGGGCCAGACAGCTCACTGAGGAGGCCGACGTTTCTCAGTCTATAGCGACCTTGGCGTGCATCACAGTCCTCAGCAGTGTTGCAGAGAGTTCGGGCAATACGGCCTCAGGCGACAACCACAGTTTTTTTTTTTTTTTCTGTTTTTCCCCTCCGTACGATTGATGAACGCGAAGCTAACCGCGTAGCCGCGACCGTATGTCCCACCAGGTCGCAGCGCAGAAAGCTGCAGAGAAGCGCAGCGCGGCGATGCGGCGCTTGGCATCGCCGCCCAGCCCCAGGAGCGGTTGCTTCCGCGTTCTTCGTGCAGCGTTGCTCATGGCTGCCCCTATGAAAGGAAGGCCCCAGGTGCGCCAGGCGCGCCAGGCGGCGCAGAGCAGCAGGGACCAGGGTGGGGCACTGCAAAATGTGCTCGAGCCAGGGCCGCGGTTGTGGCCGCTGCGGCCGAAGGCCAATTGGAGTTGAAAGCCGTGTCAGCGTAGTGGCCAGAACGAGGAGGGATCCTCCTCATAACCCCTCTGGTGTCAGGTGAGGACTAATCGAAAGACTGCCAAAAAGGCCGGCCACGTGACTCTCTGCCTGAAAGCACAGCCCTGACACTTCAGCCTTGCGCCTTGCGCGAGGGCCTGCGTCGGAAGATCGGCAAGTCGCATCGATCCGCCACTAACAGGCTGGGATTGCTTGAGCTGTCCATCGCCACATCTGGAAAATCTATGGGTCGATACGTTTCGCACTCGTTACACTCTTCGCATTGCGCTTATCGGCTGTCCCTTATCAGGCCATGAGCTTTGCCTGAGAAGGGCGCTGGTGATGTTTTGTCGAGATTCCGGCAGCTTCCCTGTGGGCACGTGGGGCAATGTTCTGTCTAAAGCCAGCTGGAACGGAAGTTCCATTACCAACTCCGTATCTGCAATTCGTGCCAATGAATTGTGCAAGGCGTGTTTTGCAATCTGCAAAGCGCTGGATTTTTTGCAGCCGGCATTCTGTGTCATGCGCTGATCGTGCGGGCTTTGGGGCAACACTCGGTAAGTAGTAGTAGTAGTAGTAGTAGTAGTAGTAGTAGTAGTAGTAGTAGCAGTAGTAGTAGTAGTAGTAGTAGTAGTAGTAGTAGTAGTAGTAGTAGTAGTAGCAGTAGCAGTAGTAGCACAGTAGCACAGTAGCACAGTAGCACAGTAGCACAGTAGCACAGTAGCAGTAGCAGCAGCAGTTTTGAGAAGAAGTGTTGTCGTAGCAGCAGCCGGAACAGCATGATCGGAAAAATAGCAGCAATAGAGGATTTGTCTAAGCCAGGAGTCTCGGATTTGGCTCCAGCTGTTGGACTTTGCCGATATCCCAGATATCCCAGTTTCTGCAAGCTTCAACAAGTATTACCCTGATTTCCAGTCCTACGAAGATCGCGACCTCATCCGGGTCCTTACCATCAACAAGCTGCCTGTTGTGTAAAGTGCAGCATAAATGACGAATGTAACGACAACTTACGAACACATTGGTGGACATATATTACATTGCTTACATGTCACACACTCACACACACGTGTAAACACACACACACATAGATATGTGTATATATATATATATATAGATACGTATTTTTTGTATCCTATTATTATGTTATATTAGGCTATATTGTATTATAGTTACTATATTGATGATTTTGTGTTTGTGTGTGTGAAGCATTGTAGAACGTTGCAGAAGCCACCAGAACTAGGTCTCATCGCCAACGTGCATAACAGCCCATCTTGTTGGACCTCACATCCTAAGCGCACAGATGCAAAGTGAGATGGATCGGAAGTTTGTCGAGGCCCAGATGATCATCAAATCCCCAAGGAATGCACAATCTACTGAAACGCAGAGTGCTGGCCCAGCGTCCGCTCTTCCCTATTTATGCGACTCTGGAGTTCCAGAGTCTTGTGTCAAGGATTGCTTGGTCGAGGAATCTTATTGCAAACCAAATAGCTGACACTTTCGCACCAATCGCCCGAAGCGACAGATCTTCCGACAAGCGTCTCAACACGAGGAATTGGATGCATCTTCGTTTTTTTTGTTAGCTGGCAGCTTGTCTCCTAACCCGTCGCAGTTGAGGCACACTGGACCTTGAGCATCATGAACATGTATGTCTTGATTGGCTGAGCTGCCAGCAACTGTTGCGTGCAGCATTCTCACCCGCGAATCACTGCAGTCAGACCTGGGAGCAACATCGCTGTCAAGCCAGATGGTTGGAAAGCTTTCCCAGTCCTAGGTCTGTTTGCAGAATGCAATCTGGTCACTCGCGCAGCGCGAGGACGGACCAGTCAAATTCAACAGCTTCCTGTAATTTACGGTAGGGCAAGTAAGCTGCACAGACTGGCCGTAGAAGCACCGAGGGAAGTTTCCGACGTTGAAAGATCTTGAACAGCAGGTTCAGGTAGCTACGGTATTTCCATCCGAAGGTACGAGTGTTTGCCTGTGCTCGCTGCTTGCCCGTTTTTCTGCAACTTGCGCTTATGTGCATCTTCGGTGCCGACTGCAAAGTGTGCGTCGCAAGGCAAAACATGAATCGGCAGCTTCGTGCAGCCGTCACATGTATTTACTGCCAGTACAAACACAGCTATCGGGACGGGACGGAGGGATCGGACCCTCTAGCGGAAGAGGCCCAGACGCACGCGGTGCAAAAGGCGTGTGCCTCAATTTCGTCAGTTCTTCCATGGACGAATCAGCCACGAACCAGAGAGACAGGACGCGACAAAGAGCCTAAGACTTCAAGACCGTCTGGCTGAGGTGCAAAGAGAGCTCGGATCTTTCGAACGCGAGGTTGCTTCAGACTTGGTGGTGCAGTATCGGTGGTGACTTCACATGCACTGCAAAGTTGAGTGATGTCTAAGCGATGTTTCTTCAACTTAATCTACTGCCCAGGCCCTTTTGCGTCGCGAGCGAGATGCCTTGAAGGCAGGATCAAGTGTTTGGTTTGCAGGCTGGTGCCTTGAAGGTCAGGGCAGAAGCACGCACGCGCGCGCACTTGCTTGCTTTCTTGCTTGCTTACTCACTTGCTTCCTTCCTTGCTTCCTTCCTTGCTTCCTCACTGACTTGCTCGCTCACTTAGGTCATTGCTTCCTTCCTTACCTACATACTTGCATACTTCACTACTTGAATAACTGCTTACGAACGTGTTTGTTGACTTACGTACTGTTTGCTTGTATTTGTGCTCATACGTACATGGGTGCCTGCTCATTACTTGGTCACTTGTTTACCGACACGACTTGGCATACTTGCAGACTTAGACTTGCTAGGTCTGTCACTCTTACGTACTTACTTATGTACATACTTGCCTACGTACTTCCGTGGTAACTTACATATGTACTGACTTGTTTACCTACTTGCTGACTTGTTTGCTTACGTACTTACCTACCTACGTACTTGCATACTGTCTTACGAAGTTGCCTACGTACTTTCTCTTATGTACGTACTTGCTTGCTTACAGGCTTACCTGCTTTTACCTGCTTGCTGACTTACTTACTTATTCACCTACTTAGTTACGTACACACATTCTAACTTACATTATTGCTTGCTTACTTACTTGCTAACGTACCTACTTGACTACTTGCCGGCTTACTTGCCTGCTTACTTACTTGCCTACCGACCTCTTACTTTATTGGATTGCCCAGATCACGTTATGCACGCAATAGAAGTATTCGACGGCATCACTCGCATACATGGGGATTCTTTCGTCCCAATCGGCAAGCCTGACCGAGTCAGATCTCACAGGAGATTCACCCTCCCTTGCAAGAAGTCCACTCGGAGTCTTTGGCCTAGCCCCTGGCCATTCTGCACGAACGACAAACGATCGTGACGAACATGCATCCAAACTCCGGACTTCTCTTTTCAACACCCTGCTTCATTGAACAGGGTAAGTGCGAGCTTTGGCCCGCTGGTTGGCGTCATTTGGACGGGCGAGATCACCCTGGGTAGATGCTGTTCCCGCATAAAGTCGAACAAGACTTGGCGCAACATGTTTGCTCCATTACACCGGAAAACAACCTGTGCAAGCAATGCCATAAACAAGTGCAAGGAAACGGGGTTGGTTGTAGCCACGGCGTTCGCTTCTTTATGCCTGCAGTTGGAAAACAACACCCTTGTCATTGAAATGGTGTGGTCTTCATTTTCAGCCAAGCAAAGCCGTCCTGCAGTAAGACGAGTCAGTGGCCAAGCCGGCATGGGGATTTCCCGCTCACTCCCTGTCCCTCCCTTGGCTGGCGTCTCTGTCTGTCTCTCGCTCGCTCTCACTCGAAGTCTGTCGCTCGCTCGCTCTCTCTCTCTCTCTGTCTCGCTCTGTGTTGTCGTTGCTCGTCCTGGTGACGGTTCGGCTCTGGTGCAGGCAGAGACGCCGGTTGTTCCCTCAGCTGAGCATAGGTTGAGTGCGATGTTTAACAGAGGTTCGACCTGGGGTTTGAGCTTAGAATTGAAGCACGTGGGTCACAAGCGTTGTTGCGACATAGGCTGTCCATCTCATGTCGGTTCAGAGTCCTTGGACATTCCGCTTCAACAGTTATTCGGAGCTCGCAATTTGGAAGCTTCACCTCGCAGGTGCGATTGCAATGCTTGTTAGGAGGCTTGGGAAGGGCACGTTCTAGCAACAGGATCATACGTAGCATGTGATCGGTGTCGCTTTGTCGTTGCACGTCAGGTTGCTCCAGCGGCACCGTCTATAGAAAGCCTGGGCAATAAGCTGTGCGCCCAGTCTCTGTTGCAATCTGTGCTTCATTCAGATCTTCGCAGCTTCAATCTGACAGACTGGTGTGACGTGTTGGGATGCATGTCGTGCAGCAGATCCCACTTGTTCTGCGACAGCCTGCGGTTTGGCTTGAGCCTATCGTTTAGGGTCTGCTAGGATTTCAAGGTAAGCCAGGGCCGACTTAAAGGGAATTGTCTCTACCGAGTACAAGCCTGCTTATCCCCAGAAGGCCCTCTCTAGCTGCTCGAGCAGGCCATCTAGGAATAAGGCCCCCCCGAACCCTGTGCACGTCGTGGCAGTGCCAGCCCGAGTACCCAGTCAAACCCGCGCATACCTGAGACTCTCCGAGAGATTCGCCAGCTTCCGAATTCACATGGCCTGGATCCGATTTGGCGACGAGCTTTGGCTTGGCCGTGCTGAGCCGCGACAAACACAAGGAGGCGCGGAGGGTTTCAGCACTGACCATTGTTTGGCTCTCGCTGTTGGCTAACGTGTGCGAGACAGTCCTGCATGTTCTCCATCGTCGGGCTGAATGCACGGGAGCAGCTGCGTGCTGATTGCGGTTACATTCTGATAGGCTGAGAAGCGGGAGGAGAAACGGCCGATTGATTCACACGAAATACAGTATGAGCCGTACTCGTATTCCAGGCCCAGACTGTATCGCAGTCTTGCAAGTGGCAGGCCCTGCCTTCCTCCTCGGCCGGCGCAACTTCCGGGCACTCGCAGTGTCGGCGCGCGGCAAGGCCGTCAAGTCATCGCCACGCCTTTGTTGCCTCGTCATCTAAGATCAGTGAATCTTTGGAAGGCGCTCTTGCTCGTGCTGGGCGGTCGCAAAGGAGAGCCCCTGGGGCATGATTCCTAATAACAGCAATGCAAACGAAGGCAAGCAGGTATAGTATGGCTACTGTTATGTGCAACAGGGCGTTGCTTTCTCGGTTAGAAAAGCACTACCGTTAGAGTGATGTTTCGACGACTTCAGGCACTACCAGAACGACGTGTGGCGTGCCTTGCCAGCAATTTTCGGAAGTGTATCAACGGTGTTGTGGCTCACATCGGCGGCAGCAACGCCAGAGGCAGCACCGACGATGGGCTTCACTGGGAGGCCGATCCTTTTCGGTGACTGCCGTATCTGCACCAGGGATCCGTGAATCTGGGATGCCTGTCGATTCGCCAGTTGCCCACATGCACCACTTCATCGCGCAAGTAGTTGTAGTTTTAGGGCCAAGAATAAGTACGTATTCGTACGGAATCGCATAAACGGAACACTACACCGGGTCTTGATGGTGCATGGATAGGACACGGTTTCGGGTTTAGGGTTCAGGGTTTAGGGTGAAAAGGGTTTCGAGTCCCAGCTGATGAACACCCTTAAAGATTCAATCGCTTGGATGCTCTGGCTTCCGTTGGAATTCTTGGCTTTGTTGGGGTAGCATTCTGGGCTGCTTCCTGTTTGTACCGCTTGATGAGATCAAATGCTGGAAGGAGTGTGCGGAACTCCTGGTGCTTTGTGCGCTAAGCATGCGATCGAGTGCCACACCAGGAGGTCTCGGCCCACGAAGAAGGCAGGTCGCAAGAAGGCGGCGTCACCGTTCGAAGCTGCTTGGCAGAAGGTTTGTGTGCCATAAGCCTGTGCCGCTTACTCGTGTGGTGCTTGTTGAAGCCTGTGTACGAATGAAGCTCCACATGTCAGGAGAAACATGATAGGGAATTGCAGGAACCGGTAGCAGTAGCAGCAGCAGCGGTAATTAGTAGTAGCAGAAGTAGTAGAAGTAGCCGAAGTAGCCGAAGCAGCAGAAGTAGCAGAAGCATTAGTAGAAGTAGAGCAGAAAAAGAAGTAGAAGTAGCAGCATCACTAATAGTGATTGTAGCTGTAGTTGTACAAGTAGCTGTAGGCGCAGGCGCAGGCACAGGCGCGGGCGTAGGAGCCGGAGCAGTAGCAGCGGCTGCAGCAGCAAGCGTCGGCAGCATACAGCCCTGAAATGCCCCTAACACAGGGTAAAAGAGGGCGGTCAGAACAAGCTTCCAGCCCCGATGCAATAGTCGAGTCGGTTTGACGGAGGCAGGTCATGACGGATGGTGAACCCCAAGTCTCAACAGAGTGTGGCGTGGAAAGCAATGGCAAGTGCTGAACTTCGTCTCTCAATCCTCCGCGATAAAAAGTCGCGGGGTGGAAGTTTTGGCTTGTGGATTTTCGGAGCGAGTCGGCCCGATTTTGGTTGGAGACCAGTGCCAGATGAAACCTTCCAAATGCTACATACCCTCACGCACCAGCAACACTGCACAATTTCCACGCTTCAGGAACGCAAGATTCAGACTATTCCGTGAAGCGCTCCAATCAGAGGGTGTGCACGGCGCGGGGGAACGCGAAATTGCACTCGTCGAAGAAGAACAACACACGAGACAGAGAGAGAGAGAAAGAGAGGCCCTCAGAGTGAAGTGTGTGAACTTGCGTGTGCACTCTAAGTTGTGTTGCTGTTTGTTGCAGCGAGAGGGGGACCCGAGTCACCGCATAGCCTGTGACCGGAGCAGCTGACAGAAGCCCGGCACTTTTGGGCACCATGCGCTTCCAGCCCAAGTGGGAAGAGGCGCGAGGCCGGGGGGTCCATAGGTTAGTGTAAAGGGTTGGGGGCTACAACGGATCCGGCCGGTGCAGCTTTCCAACAAAGGGGGGTCTCACAAAACAGACTGAGACCAGTGCGCGCGCGCGCGGGAGGGGTCCGCCGCTCCTCCCTGGCTGAGTGCAAGCAAGAGAGAGAGAGAGAGAGAGAGAGGAAAAACCTTTGGTGGAGTTAGACCTCCCGCGAGAAGCGGGTGTGCGCGCGCGCACGGGGTGATCGGCCTGGACGCTGCCGCGATCCCCAAGCCCGGAAGAGAGAGAGAGAGAGAGAGAGAGAGAGAGAGAGAGAGAGGGAAGGAAGGAAGAGGCCCCGAAGCAGAGTGGCGCTTCTGGGCGACCCGTGAGCCAAAATATCAGATACACACAAAACACGCACCAGTGCACTGTCAATGAACCTGAGGCAAGGCAGGCACATGTTCGCGAGACGATCCGACTTACATTCGTGTGCCTAGCAGCTTGCCAGGAAAATGGTGCGGCAGGTGCAGCCCGGGCTTTGTCAGCATGCCTTACGGTCAGACGACGACATGCCACGATTCACCCTGCAGGGAAGCCTTTGGGGCGGCTGCTGGATGTGTTGCAGGCCTTGTGCAGACCCAGGCCCGACTTCGATGCGGGGTAACCGTAACCCCTGAAAAGGCTCAATGCAGGGACTTGTCTACATCGCATGTGGGCTGGGGCCAGCCCGCCCGATGGAAGACGTCTGGGTGCCTTTGCTTAAAGAGTGTCGTGTCTGTACGATGTCAGGCAGCAGGCAGCATGCAAGCCCAGCCCACGAGGTCTCGGAAGACTTCGGCCGCAGCTTCGTCCGCACCTGCGAGATCGGGCCCTTCGGCCGCCGCGCCAGCCCTGGACTGGCGGTAAGTCCGGGCAAGCCGCAGCAGGCCCGGCACACGCCATCGGGATCCTTTCGAAGTGAATGCAGAAACGGCAGCACAAACAGGTGGTGTTGGTCGGCGGAGGCTGGAACTCAGCTCCCGAGCATTGGGACTGTTGGATCTCCTCGAATGTGGGCGAGACTTGGACGGAAATCTCCACGCCTTCAAACGAGCTTCCCAGGCGGCAGGTGGTTGTAGCCTTTGTTGCTTCCGCGCTGCTGGTTCTGGGCGGGCACAACCGGCGAGAACCGGTTGTGGACGCACATCTTGCGACGATAGATTGGTTTTCTGGCACTGCGATCTGGCAGCCCTTGACGCACCTCCGGCCGATAGCATACACTCTGGTTGCTTATGGCTATGGCCAGTTGAAAAGTTTATCATCCGACGATAGAGGTCCCAAGATGTACCATGCAGGAATGTCCGATTTCTCGAGCAAAGTTCGGTCTCCCGTCGTTTTCAATGTGGGGTGCATGCCAAAGCCCGCGGTATCCCGCCTTTGCCGAAACATCGTGCGTGCTACCCGTTTCATTCGCAAGACGGAGGCCTCAAACAAAGAATGAGATGCAACCTAAGAGCAGCAGGTGGGATGTAGGGTGCGAGTACTACAGCCTTCTGCTTGAGCAGACATGTGTGCATCCCCAAGCAGAATTAACATGACAAACCTACGGACATGGTGTCGCGTGGACGGCACATGACGGGGCCTGCGAAAATAAGGCATGTACGTGACATGCGTCCCTAAGACTTGCGAAAGTAAGGCCATCAGCTTGAAATTGGGTTGATCATGTTTTCGCAAGCCCAGGTGATTTGTGTTTCTCGTTCGCAAGCACCAGGTACAAGCGCGGCTCCTCTGAGGAGGCTGTTGATGAATGGCTTCCAGGTGAACTGCCTTGCTTTCTGAGCCACTGCTCCGTGGTTGATGCACATCAAGGAAAAATCTTTGGCCTTACAACTGGCGCAAGCTACTTGGTGGGAGCACTCGAGCCCAAAACGGGCGTTTCAGACTGCCCCAGTCTCCGTATTGAAAGCGGGCCGCTGCAGACGCTCACAGAGAGTTCAGCATGTCACACGTTGTGTTCAGCTAAGACGTTTCCGCTCGCCTTACAGTAAGCCCTGTCTTTGCCAAGGAAGCTTCTCCCTCGCATCGTGGCCTCCGAGTCTGTGGTGTCCCCGAGCGCACTCGGTGGTGGTCCCTTGCAGCAGCGGCTTCACATACTGTTGCCAGCGGATGTAAGGCTTGGGCGCACAAAAAAGACAAGACTTGAAATCTGACATCCTGCAGTTTTGAATGCCAGACGGCTCTACATCCTCGAGGGTGACGATGCCGGCCAGCTCGTAGCCACGCCGCTGGGCGGAAGAGATGGCTTGGCTTCAAGCTTCCTTCTCTCGGCTCTGATCCCCTTCGCCCTTCTCTTCTCTTAGACTTCCTTTATATGCTCCTCGGCTTTTCGAGGTGCAGCGCGAGGGAGCGCCGACGCCAGGAGCGGCTGCTCCGGCCCAAAGCATCTCGCCTGAAAGGCAAATGTGGAGCACACACTTTCTGTTGTCTTCAAAGTCTGTCCGATTAGCGGGCATTGAAAGTGCTGGAGGCCTGGTGGAGCTTGCCTATGGAGCTATGGGCCAAAGTTCTCCTTTTCCTGCCGCCTGGAAGCAACGACCCTTGCGGGCGGCGCGGTGTCGCTTCTCATCACTGACTGCCTTGGCTCAGGTTTGGACCCCGAGTGAAGGCGCGAGGTCAAGCGACAGGAGCAAGAAAAAGTCGACAGACACTGCGGAACAGTAGTAGCCGTCAGTAGCCGTCTTGTGGTGTGCTTTGTCTCTGCTGTGCCATCCAACCCAGGCTGCAGCAGAAGGAGACTGAGGTGCAGGTTTGGCCTCGTTTAGACTGACGGTTCAACCAACGCAGCTTGCCCTCGCTCACAGCTCATGGTGCAAGAACGGACTGCCAAGATCTTGAGCTGGGACAAAGCCTATGAAGCCAGGAACTTCGCAACAGAGTGATGTCTACCCCAGAGCGTTCGAGGCTTAAGGACTGACTGGCTGCTTCACGCACGACAGGTAGACCATCAGAATTTTGCTGTATCTCCGAGGCTACCATGCCCTCGTGGAAGAGTCGGGTGGCAGAACGGCAGTGGAGGAGTGGAGCGCGGCCAAGGTCTTGTGACATCTCGAGCCAGCCCCCCGCACCCAGGATCATGGCGTCAACGTCCGGTACGGAACCCCGCGACCTCTTCACAGGCTCGAGCACCCTTGGGTTGCTCTTGCGGGCTCTTTCTCAGCCTGGCGCAGCTCTCAACGACTTTCAGGCCCGGTGGCTCGCCGCCACGGCGACCAGCGGGACAAGCTTTGGGAGGCTTGTTTGCCTGCGGACGGAGGGCACCTGTACACTCTACTTGTACGCTCAATATGAACACCGATGGGAGGCAAGACCGAGATGTCCAGAAGTGTGGAAGGCACTGCTTGGGCGTGGTGGTGAGCGCCTAGGAATACCTAATCAGCACCTATAGGTTACTGAATATCGCATTTCAAGTAGGCGGTTTTGCAGTTTTGCGGTTATGCAGGGCGCATCGACGTCAACAAGAGCGTCGACGAAGGCATCTCCCTCGTCCTTCCTTTGAGATCTGGCTGTGCTGACACTCTTTGGCCTGTGAACATCTCGGCGAGACTTTCGGCACAGGGCTGCTCCAAGACCCGGTCTTTGACCATCCTAGGGGCCTAGAGCTCGAGACACCCTTCTCGGGCTACTTCCAGTGCTCCGAGAGCCGGAGCTACGCAAAATTCGGAAGTAGGACTCTTGCTGTTATGCTTTTATGCTTTTCTGCATCGCAGGCAGGCCGGACGTTGCCAAAGTTGCGACTGAAAGCGGTTCCAGCCTCAGACAAGCACGCAGCGAGGTGTTCCCGTTGAAGAGCATGCCCCCACTTTGTTCGCAGAAATCGAGGTCGGCCGGAACTCTCCAAGGGCATCGAGGAAGGCTGACCTTGTTTTGCATCGTTGTGTACCACTTGCTTGTCGTCAGAGCATTGCAGCTTGGTCGGAGCTTTCTTGTGGTCGACGTGTTTCTGCTGGCCACTGGCCATCGTGTTAGCTTCGATCGAGTGCCAGCGATCGCATCAGGTGAGTCAACCGGAAGACATTCACCTGAAGGTCCAGCCGTATGGTACCGCTGTGTAGATCTCGAGCACACAGTGACTGCCGTACTTTGCCCAACGTGGCAAACACTGGCTGTTACAGGCAAAGCTGACATGCGAGCCATCAGCGAAGGCAGCAGACTCGTTCCAAAAGAGTTGGTGACATTCAGTACTGCTCTCGTTTCAGCCTTGAGCCAACTGGGCTTCTAAGACGGGCTGGCGGCTAGGAATGGTAAGGAGAGTTTACGAGAGGCTAGGGGGTAGGTTTTGTGGGACCGTAGCCAAAGATGCCTGTCGCAGACTTGGTCTTCATGGCCTGGCACAGGAAAAGCTTTAGCTGACAAAGATGCAGCTCCAGAAGATTTCGCGGTGCCAGCAGGAGGTCTGCACGGTTTCGCTGTTTGAGTCACTGTTTGAGGAAGCCAGATTGCATTCTGGTAATAAGCCACTTCAGAGTGCAGTCCATGTCGTGGAAGATCGGAGTGCCAGCAGAGGCAGTGCTGAGGGGAACCGAAGCACCGACGATGGCAGCAATCTCATCGATTCTTGCCGTGTGTGACTTTGGGATGCTTGCTTCGTGCCTTCAGAGATCGGTCCAGCTGATGATGCTGAGTGGCTGAGTGATTTGCTCATGAACGATTCAAACCGCAAATTGATGGCAGCATGAGAGTTGGCACTGCATGATGAGGCAGCCGAGATGAAGTCAGGGTCAACGATGGAGGCAAGTGTGCCGGTCAGGTCTCTGCGTGCCAGTCGCGTCTAGGCGGAACGGAGGCATACGCGGCCAGGAATCAAGGAGCCAGAGTGTAGGAGGAATGCTGCTTCGTCATTCCGCGTGCGGGTCTGAGGGGCGAGCCCTTCAAACAAAGACTCAGAGAACGTCGACGACAAGGATATTACGTCTGCTGGCATCTCAGAACCTCGACCCAGGTTTCCCTGAAAAATCTCTGCCTGCAACTGATCCACAGCCAGAGGACTACATGAAAAGTTCAGTTCCCTTGGTCCAAACTTTTTCAAAGGTGACTTCCGCCGTCACGCCGGTGGCAACGCCGGCAGCAGTATCACCGATTCGGACGGTCTCAGAGACACCGCAGGCTGCAGGGCAGCAGGGCGAACTATGCAGCAGAGACGATCGACAGCGATGAGTTGGAGTTTTTGTTGCCACTGGAGTCCTCCGTGTTGTAAAGCCCTGAAGAGAGAGAGATGACGCTTTGGTTTCAGTGGCCGGTGAGATGCCGTGAGCTTTTGCGAGCAGGCTGTCCCGGCCGCGGCAAACAGCATTGCATCCACCACGCCAGTGCAGGCAGGCAGTTGGTGGACGATGACAGCACCAAATTTAATAACCCTCATGATGCTTCCATTGGATCTGCGGATGCTATCGGAAGTCTCCGTAGCCTTCGCAGATGCACGCGAGCAGAGTGCCCCGTCTCGTGTCACAGACGTCATGCCGCAGCTATTTCGATCACCAACTCCTGCCGCCGTTTTGGCACGAAGACGCGTAGTGCAGAGTAGAGGGAGAGTGTCCAGCGGCGCCGTAGCAGGTTGACGGCCTCGTGCTGCTGTGTGCCTGCCTCAGGGATCCTGCAAAGGGCTCACGAGTTTCTTGTGCTAACTTATTGTCCTGCTATGATCTTATCTTCCTGCCTGAAATTGCTGCGGTCAGAGTGAGGGGGGAGTGCTGGGCATACCGGGACTGTCGTACCAGTAGACGTACCGGCGACTGCTTTGTGCAGTTTATCCACGCATGGGGAGCCTCGCAACCAAGGCACAGCCGGTCAATCAACATGCCTGTGAAGCAGGACGTCCACAGATGTGTGTTCATGCATGTGTATCCATACGTGTATGCGATTGAATGTGTGTATAGATATGCATATGCTTGTAAAGATAGATAGGTAGATAGATAGGTGATATATATATATATATATATATATATATATATATATATATATGTTTATACATGCACACACATACATATTTATGTACTTAATGTGTGTATATATATATATATATATATATTCATATATATGTATGGATATTTGTATGGACATGTGTATGTGTAATGTACGTATGTATGTAAGCATGCATGCATGATGCATGCATGTATGTATGTACGCATGTACGTGTGTACGCATGCACGTGTGTACGTATGTACGTGTGTATACATGCATGTGTTTATGTATGTACGTATGTATGCATGCATGCATGCATGTGTGTGGCATATATGCGTGTATGTGTGCAGGCGCGTATGTGTGTATGTGTGTATGTGTGTATGTGTGTATGTGTGCATGTATGTGTGTATGTGTGTATGTGTGCATGTGTGCATGTGTACTTGTCGATGCGTGCATGCGTGTATGTGCGTATGTGTGTATGTTCGTATGCGTGTACGTGTGTGTATGTGTCTATGATATAATCGAGTTTAAAAAACATACAAATCAATATAGTACACACAAGGAGGCGTTCAAGTGTGAAGGACTTTGGGACGGTAAAGCGCAGGGGAAGTCTCGCCTTCTGCAGGAACTGACGCAAGCCTGCCAGGGCCACTGGAAAACAGAGATGTTCCAGGCCCCTTGTCAGGCCTGGCAGGTTCCAAGCGAGACAGTGCGTTGTTGAGTTCAAGCGACTTCGTGGCACGTGTGTGCAGCTGTGCAGCAGTGCCTCGCGCTTGTGCTCCAGGCTCCGCTCTCTTTCTGCTATGGCAGGGGACCAAGTGTGTGAAACCATGCCAGTGCAGTGAGATCCTGCGCGACCCTTGTCTAATCTGGCCGCCACGTGGTTTCCACAGGCTGCTGCTGCATTCCGTGCAGCTTGGATGGCACCAGATCGTGCCCGAGAGTCACGAGAGTTTCGGTGTGCTCCGTGTGTTTCAGGCGCGGCATACCAGCAGCGCAGTGAGCTGCTTGCCTGTTGCTCAGCACTGTGGCATCAGCGTTGGCGTCGAGAAGAACCGCGCTTTTGTCTTGACTCAGGATCTCACCGGCGAGCCTTACATCTGCTTCGCTGGACTTTGCAGTGGTTTCTGTGGCTGCGATTTCCTGAGTGAGCCTCAGGACTGGGCGCGGCATGGTACTCGCGAAATTCATTCAAGAACCAAGGCAAGGATTCGGAAGGACATACAGGCTGTAGGTAAATTCGATAAGGCGTTTCCATACCGCTTCGAGCAGGTCTCAAGCGAGAGATAGATCTTTAGCTCCAGCCATGCGCTTCCTCATCGCTGCTGGGCTGCTGCTGCTGGCATGTGCGGATGACAGCTACTTCCTGCCGCCGCTGGAGGGAAAGCAAGGCTGGTGTTTCAGGGTCTCCTGGATGATTTTGCACGGCCGTCTGGGGCAGTGCCCAGAAGAGTCCAGCGTGCCTGCGAGTTTGAGGGTGAAGCGGTTGAATTTGCTGATTGCAGTCTGCTTTCTGAGCGCGCCTGCTCTTCGCCACAGGTCCGGAGGTTGCCTTGCCGCTCGGTCAGCACATTCTGAGTGTGGGCGATACTGCTCATTTTCGCGCCCCGGCTCCTTTCACTGAGGATCTTGTCTCAGGGTGCCAGCTCCCCTGTTGCGGGATACAAGCCCGTGGGCTTGGCAATCCAGCAGGCCTCGCCTTTCAAGGCCGGCGGCGGACATATGAACAGACAGCAGGACGCGAGAATAAGAACGTGGTGTGTCTCGTGAAAGTTCTTCGCGAGAGCCTTTTCTCAGGTCTGGGTGGGGGTTCCCCAGCACCTTTTCGACCTAGTTGAGTTCCAGTTCGCCGGCAAGGTGCAGGGCAAACCAAGTGGAAGATGTGAAGAGGCCGACTCTTGGCAGGTTGATGCCATTCTGACAGAAATGGAGAAGGCCGGCATGAAGGCCGACCACAAGGCGCACCGCCGTTGCAACAGACAGAAAGCCGGAGCCACAGCTTCATCCAAGCTATAGGTGATCATGGGCCATAGCCTTGGCGGTGTCTTCTCCCAGTTCTACGTCGCAGGTACTGGACGAGGCCGGAGCCTCACTGTAGCCGCACGCTAGTCGCATGCTGCTCTCGGCCGCGTTGCACTGCAGGCAAGATGGATGCATTGGTGCTGACGGGAGCCACGGTCTTGCGCAAGTGCTTCGACATCGATCTGCGAAACAGGCACCAGCCTGCAGGAATGCTTCAGAACTTGCATCGCTCACAAGGTACCGTAATTCTACGAAGCTGCCGCCAACTTTGACTCTCGTGCCTTGGGCGCAGATGCTGCAGCTGGATCGGCAGCTCGCCGCACCTTGGAGCGGCCGTGCCCCATGCTTTCAGGATGGGGATCTGGATGGCCTCCTGCGCATCACGCGCCAGGCAGGGAGAGTTGAGAAGTGTCTGTACACCTGCAAATTCATCCCTGAGGCGGAAGCCTACTTTCACCAGGTTGTCAAAGTCGGAGGAGCCAGAGAGGGCCTGCACAGAAAGGAAGAGCTTCGCGAACTGCCTGCAGGGCCGCATGGCCTTGGTAGGAGCTGCGGCCGAAATGGATCGTCCCGTGGTTTTGCTCGAAGGCTCGCGGCTAGACTTGAGCTGGCAACTGCCAGCTGCAGTTTCTGCAATTGTAACATTCGGTGGGCAATACTTGTCCTGTTCTTGTAGGGGGGCGTTGAGGGGTGATTCGAAGATCAGGTCCAAAGCCCATAATTGCTGTTCAAATGATTCGATAAAGGTGTGCCCGTCACGAAATGCAAGAGGAATACGATGGAATACGAGTCCTGGAAAGAAGGGAAGACACCGAGACGACGACTAAGCCTCGACTGTGATACGGGGGGAAGTGCAGCAACGGTGATAGTGGCGATGACGGGCCTCGGAAATGTGAAGGAACACCTTTGCAGCATCCTGACCGTTCGAACAGCGGCGCAGCCATCCGATTTGGACTGCCGCTTAAAATACCCGTCCTGGGAACACCGTGCTCACCAAGGGGAGACGTCAACCAAAACACACTGTGTTTGTCATCAAAGCGTTAGGAGAGAGCCCAGTGACCGAAGTCTAAGATCAGTTGCAAAGCGCCATGGTGCAAGACAGGCACCAGCCACGAGAAGAAACAAGGCAAATGCGCATTGACGAGTAGTTTTCGACTTCGAGGTTGTGCAATGCACGCGGTGCGCCAAAGACTGAAAAGCCTTTCCAACATGAGAGATGGTGTATTGGATGGAAAGCTGTACTGCTCTCTGCATCCCAACATGCACCCTGCAAGATACTTGTATGCTTTCCACCACTTACCATCTGCGCGCGTGACCTGGCCAGGCCAGTCCATTGTCGGATTTCGGAATTCACTGAGTCAAATCGCTTGGAGGTCTTAGCAACTCGGGGGCACGCTCTGATCCTGAGGTTCGACAGTCGCAGCTGCCGCGTTGGGTGGTGGTGGTGGTGGTGGTGTTGTTGGTGGTGGCGGTGGTGGTTCATTGTGAGCTCGAGGCACCATTGGGAGCTCTGCTGCTCCCGGCTCCACCAGTCCTGAGTTTTCCAGGACCATTCCTCACGCTAATAACTCCAGTCGTCATCGTGCGAAGACCAGTCACCGGACCAATGATCGAGTGAACCAACCCATTCCTGACTCCAGTCATAGTCATCCCGAGACCACTCATCACATGATCCATCATCCTGATTCCATTCCTGTTCTATTCACCTTGCTGATTCTCTTGTGATTCTCATCTTCATTCACTGCTACCAATTTTCATCTGCCTTTCGGGCATTCTTTACTCCAGTGGCTTGATGTGCGAAAATTCAGCCTCATATGTTGCAGTGGATCAGCAGTCTTCTGCATTAACAGGGTGATCAAGAAGTCATCCAGCGGCCTGCCAGTCGTCTTCTCATGTCTGTGCTTCAATATCATGAGCTCACTAAGATCACTCTCCATGCGCTCATCGCACAAACGGAAACCGATGATCTCATTCAAAAGGTTCGTGGATTTTCGCCCTTTCAGGCATTGCGAACTCTTTGTGTAGTCTTCGCTAAATCATCTCGAATCCATTTTGCTCCTTGCGAACCATCGCCCTTGCTGCGCCATCAGTGATTTGCGCCAGCATGTAGGCCAATTGCCGTGAAAACAGTGGCAATTGAGTATTCTGTCCTGGTCAACTGCGCATCAAGCGCCTCACACAAGTCGTCATGATCACTCGGCCGGATCCTTCGACATCATTCGTCACCAGTTTGGCCAGTGGCTTGTACAGTCCTACATTTCGCTTTGGCTGCCACGACCAATCTTCGCAATTCTCCGACTCACCCTGGTACACTGGCGGCGGGAACAGTTTGATCTCTCCGCCAGTCCCTCTTGTTCCAAGGCTTCCTCTCCCTGTTTGCAGAGCCAATGCT